ATAGCAAAAATAAATACATGATATGCAGAAAGAGCATGAGCAGCATACAAGTATTTACCACAAGGTAGTACAATGTAGCAGCTACGACATATAAAGTGCAAGAGGAGATACCCCTGTGTTAAAGTGCATTTAGCGGTGATTGCACGTCTGTGTGTTTCTCAACCATTCTTTGAGTTGACCTTTAAAACTATTGAGAGTGGGACAATCCCGTATCTCAGTTCAATTAGAAACCATGTTTTTAGGGGCTTTAAATTCATCAAGAATGCTTTGTTCCTCTGTCTATTGTCCTCATGAGGTAGAGATGACCAATCTCTGCTCCGGTTATATTGAGTTTCCTGCTCGTTTGTCCCCGTGTCCTCCCTGGACTTGAGCTACTGGGACAGTCTTGAGGGATTTAGTTCATCATGCGTTTTCTTTTCTCTTCCCCTCAGGTCCACGACCTCCCTCAGACCCACACGGCCGATACGCTGAAAACAAACACATCCCGGGGATGGGTAAGTCGCCTACAGTCTCTCTATTTCCAATATTTCACCATCATCTCTGAACCCTCTTACTCACCCTGTGCTGTTTCTCCTCTTTCAGACATGATGGGCCCCCGCAGCTCATCACCCACCAACATGGATGTGTCGGTACGTTTTTTTAATTCCTAATTAAATCTGATCATTTTTACGTGTTACCTTCCCTCACTGCCTCTGAAGGGCTGAAGCTCCTACCCACATGTGTGTGTCCTTGCTCTGAAACAGACACAGGCAGTAGATCCTCAGATTAAAGCAGAGGCGGAGGCTGCGGCCTCCACAGAGAGCCCAGAGCCAGTGAGTATAGAGGCTCCGCCCCCCCGAAAACTGCATCTGGGGAGATTGAAGGCGTTGTGCTTCACTGGGGCTTAACTGTTTGGGCTGAGTGTGGTTTCCTCTGTCCTCACAGCACGGAGAGGAACTAAGAATGTTCTCATCGAGTCTAATATTTGGGTTGTTGAAAGTTGTGTGTCAGAGGTCGGGTTTTTGTGAAGGCGGTTTGATTTGTAATCCAAATAATCATGGTGTGAGGTTACTACTGCTGTGCCGAATATCTTTTTCATTAACATATGAAGCTTCTATTGAGGTTTTCGGATGAAGAATGTCTGTCCTCCTAAAAATACTAAAAAATATGTTTTTATTCAATCGTCATTCTTCATTGAATATAGCTTGTTAGTTTGGTCAGAATATTTCATTAGCTAATAACATGTTTTAGAAATGATTTAACCTAAGCAGCAACCACTGGAATCTATTTCTACAAATATCGTTATGCTAATGAGATATTAGTTTAGCCCAATCTTAACAGAATGAATAGACATGCAGAGAAAGAGAAAGAGCGCAGCATGAATGTTGACTCTGAATCCGAGTATCAATGTTTGAATTGAAGCTTCAAATGATCCGGTGCAGCCCTAGAGGTTAGGGTCATGTGATTTGATCCGTGGTGTGTGGTTTGTGGATCTCTTCACTGCATGACTAAAGTCCTAATCCACATACACTCACTCACGAGCACCACCAACGTCTCACTGCCTGCATTTGAACTCACTCACTATCTTCGTCTTCTTCAGGGACCTGGATCCTTCCTTGCGTCTCCGATTAGAGACTCTCCAGGGCCCCTGGTCCCAGGCGGCCCCCCCGGCCCCCATGACCCCCTCCTCCCTCCAGGACCCCACGGCCGCCTGCCTCCTCCCGGCCCGTACAGAGGCCCCCGGCCCGGCCCCTACCACCTCCCTCCAGGCCCTCACGGCCCCCTTCCTCCCAATGTCCCGCCTCACCTTCACGGGCCTCCACTCCCAGCCAATGGGCACCCAGGTATGCCTCTGCCTGGACCAATGGGAGGAGAGTATGGACCTCGACCCGCCAACGGACATGCGTTCCCCCCGCGGCCGGGCCCCGGACACATGATGGATCCTCGGGGCCCCCTACCGCCACACTTCCGTCCCCTTCCACCTCATCACTACGGGCCGATGCCCCCTGGTACGCTATTATGATCTGTTTATGGTTTAACTGGAGTGCTGGGAGTTTGGAGTTTCTGTTTGTATGTAGATGGACTTGACCCTATTGTCGATTCATCTACTGATTATTTTCTAGATAAATCAAATGGTAAAATGTCATTCAAGTCATTTTTTAATCAAGTAGTAAAAAACGTAATTGCAGTTCAAAGTAATGCCTTTACATTTAGATTTTTCTCAGTTAAAACCCCTCACCATATTCAGTTTAATGTTGTATAATACGGAGAAAAGGGTGATCTCTACATGAAAAACTTCTTATACATGAATCAATCATCAAAATATTAATTTTTCCTTAACACTGACTGATTTCTCAGTTGACTAGTTGTTGCAGCTCTGCCCATCATGTACTGAACTTTTTAGTTTTTTCAGAGCATTGATAGTACGCCACAAGAGTGCAGCACACACTGACAGGATGTGCTGGTTTTAAACTGTAATAAAGTCATTAATAACTACATTTCCAAAATAATATATGTTGTAGGCTACATTGAAAAGATAACTTGGAAATCAGGTAGTGTCTTTTCTTCATACCCTTTCAGTTGATCAGTCCCTACCTCTGTAGACTTATACAAATGAACACACACTCATGATGTTGTGTCCCTCCTGATGACATCATCTTTTCTCATGTTTCTGTGCAGGTGTCCGTGGACCAATGGGACCTCGTCCGCCCTTCCCTCCTGACATGCGCTACCCAGGACCTCGGGACCACCCCGGCCCCCCTGACATGCGCTACCCAGGACCTCGGGACCACCCCGGCCCCCCGATGAACCTGCCCCCCGGCCCCCCGATGAACCTGCCCCCCGGCCCCCCCCACCCTGCACACGGTGATGCGTATGGCCCCCCCCACCCCGACGCCCTCCACAACTCGCAAAGCGGCCCCCGACAGGCGGCCCCTCAGGACTCCAGACCACCCACGGTCAAGCCTTAAACACGCCAGCAGCCACGGCAGAGGACTTTACCCAGAATGCATCACTTTAACAACAAGATCCAGTCTGAACTAAGGTCATGGTATTTTTCATATTTCAGTTATAAAATAAAAGCTGCAATTTTGTTTATTAAAAAAGAAAGAATATGGTCCCTAAATGAAAGCATCAATAATTATGTGTCTGAAGTCAATGATTTAAAAAGGGTTGCCACTTTTCTAAACTGCTTTTTGTGCAATAATAATTCATTATATGCCAGATTATTTTCATTTGTGTTCTTTTAAAAAATATATATAACGATGATTTTTAAGGGTCCATTTTTTAAATGTCATTTCCTGTGGAAATTATTTTAAGAACGGAGAAAAAGGAAGGTGTTAAGCTTCTAGCATTTCAGGAACAACCATAATTTCCCCAAGCTGTTGCTTCAGAGCCGACTGTAAAGGAAATGTGAAATTTGATGGCCAGATGTATAACTTATTTTACTATGTTGGTAGACAATTTAATAATAAAGAATGCAAAAGCTGTCGGTGTTATTTTACTAACGGGTAATAGTTCCCTCACAGATGATGTATTTTACACAAGCTTTATATATATATATTCTCAACATGTGTCTTCATGCTCTATTTGGAATAAAATAAGACATACATCTGTGTGGAAGCAGCTGAGACAGAAGCATTATCTTTCATGTTCATTTCAATCAGGTGACATGTTGACATCCAAACGCTACATTTCTGACATATTTTAATTTTTTACTAAAGTTTTTTGGAGAGCATGAAAACAGAATTCATAGCTCTTTGTTAAAATGATAAAGTAAGGGTCGTTTACTAGATGGGAAAATTATGAAGATTTAATTGAATTGCTTTTTGAGAGTAAAGTCGAACTTTAAAGGTGGGGTGGGTAAGAATGGAGAAACCAGCTCGAGTGCGCTAGAATTTGAAAATACACAACCGTAAAAAATCTGCCCCTTCCTTCAGACTTAATAATAATAATAATGGGTTCCATTTATAAAGCACTTCATATTCGAATTCAAATCCCGAAGTGCTAAGTGACTTCCTTACAGAGCCCCTCCTCCAACACACACGAACGCGCACATGACCAATGAGGGCACGAGATAAGTTTGTGCACAGATGGAAGGCTGACAGGCAGGTAGGCCATCCAGTTACTTTAGCCGGGCCGGCTAAAATGACTGGTCGTGCTTTTTATAGTACTACGGCTTCCACAGATGACACTTTTTTATGTATTTATTGTCAAAGCATTTAATGTATTCATTGCTATCGGGATGTTAAGAGCATTCCATGGAATATGACAAAAAGTGTTTCTGAAGTGAATTACCTACCCTACCTTTAAGTACATGACTGTCTTTTAAACTTTATTCTCACATTTCTAAATACCTGGGATATTTACTTTTACTTTTGACATTTCAAAATAAAATCATATTTTTTGCATTTCTTTCCTTACGCCTGGTACCAGTTCTCTTCGGTAGTCTGAGGCCTTTCACGCGTTCGCTGGCTACTGTGACACTTATTTAAATTCAGTTGCTTATCAATATTTGCATAAATCACATGCTGAAACCCGTCTGTTCACTGTCTTATGCTTTGTATGGAATTCTCCACTAAAATGCTTCGTTTGTAGTTTATTAGAAATTAAAAGCATTGTTGATACATTTCCCCTCAGTCTGTCAACAAAACGGAAACACTCCACAGGTCTCAGTCCTACCATGCTGTAACGCTTACACACATTACATCAGTTAATGTCTCTTACAGTTAAATTACACCTGAACATTGTGACATTACAAAAATAAAACCAAATGTTACAATGTAGATGTGCACTTAATACAGCAAAGTCAGAATGGAAATAACACCCTTGGATTCTCGAAGAAAGCTCAGACGGTTATTCTTTTGTGTATTATTGTTTTAACTTGTTATTTTTTTTAAAGCTGTCTATTAAAGGTTCACATTTAATTTAATTTCGATAATGGTAGACGCGTGATTCTTAACTCTAACTGCTAAAAAAAAATATGCTTCCTCTGGACAATAACTTGTAGACATCACACAATGCTGCATCCATCCGTTATGCCTTTATTAAACAGTATGAAACCACATCTAAATATACTTGAACCAAAACATACTGAAGCATGAACACTGGAAGGAATAATTGCTACCAAGTTGAATTCTGGTCTGAAACAAATTGCAGAGTTAGTGTGATGTAGACAAACCAAACACACTGTTTAAAAGTGATTACTCCTAAATGTTCAGAGTGTTTCAGTGCATCGTACTGTTTACCTAACCTTTAATTGAACCATTCAACATTATCACTGAATTCAACACCGTCTATGACTTAACAAACCATTTTAGTGTGCCATTAGGACCATTTAAGACTTGGTTGGTCATTATTACAATAGTTATAATCATTGAGTAGACCCACATATTTAATTGAGAATTATGAAACACTGTAAAAGTGTATTCTAGTTATGGCAAACACAAACCAATGGGTGTTATGACAGGATTTAGGATTTGATGGTGGCTTAGTGAAGCACACATTGATGTCTGTTGTTTATTCAGGGAGTGGCTTTGAATACTCTGCCATGACTTCACATAGAATATTGACTCAAATGAAGCACCTGCAATAACTCGAGGAACACTGGAAATAAGATGGTTCTCCTATCAGGCCCTGTCTCTCCAAATGATACAAAACGGAGAATGTTTGAGTTATTGGAGAAGGGGTTTCCAGCAACAGAAATGACTATATTAGCTTATTAGCACCATTGTAGGTTTCAAATAAAATCTCTACAGAACAAGTATCGGTGGGTTATAATAAAAAATTAAGTTACCAAGAAAATACTGTATGTGAATTGAATGGGTTTTGTCGTGGACAGCTGATCCATCCTTGCAAAGTGAAACAATGTGGTAGCCACTCGATTAAAAAAAATGGTTACGATGACAGAGAATATTCAAGCTTTTCCCTCGTAAATGTGTATTCTTTTCATAAATGTACCACTTCTACCTATGACATTCTGAGTCTTACCCTGAATATTACCCCTCTCACCTGAATGTTACCCCTCTCACCTGGCTCCATTTGAACGAAAATCTACAATAGCTCTTATATCCCATGGTACTCAACGACAAAATCAAAGAATACACAAGTCGGAGCTGATGTGTTTGTCTCCCTTTACTTTCTCCATATACTCTTGAAAAAACACATGAATACAAGCTTGGTTTAGTATTGCTGGGTGAGATGAGGTGAACTTCCACATTGATGTGTGTGTGAGAGAATGATTTCAAAGAAGTTGGTTTAAAGTTCAGGACGCCAAGACTTAGCTGTCCTTGTGTAACGTCTGGTGGAGATGGAGATAGAGTTGTTTCTTTGTAAGGAGCTGCAGTTTCTTCCTCTTGAAGTCCGTGGGCTTCTTGTACCTGAAAGATAACAGTATGAATTTAATTGAATACACAAAAGGCATCCTTTATAATCATTATTGTTCGCTGACTCACAGTTCGATGACGATGGGGCCGGGTTTGATCTCGTCCATTTCCATGAAGGCAAAACACTTAGTGCTGGTGAAACCCTTTTTAGGTTTGTAGTGCTTGAATTCAAAGAAGATAGCTGCTCCTGGAAGAACGAATAACAACAAATTGTGAGTGTTAACAAACTTTATAATTACCTCAAAGCTTTCTGCATACTGAAAGTATCGATTCGACTGGCAATGAAAGTCCATATTTTATATAACAAACCAAAAACAAATATGTGCTCATCTCTCACGGTGACGAAGTGTTTTTTAGGCGAACACTGCCCTGTTTCCTATACCATAACCTATGGGATTTCTTCATAGGATTATGGATTAGTGCAACAAATAAACTAATAAACACATGCCCGTTTTGTCAGCAAGATAATCTTCCCATAAAAAAATACCCTTTATGAAATTGCCAAAGGCTATAAACAAACTACATCACAGTCCTAGTACTTCTGATCTGTGTCCCTCACAACCTCTCCAGTCTCATTTAGCCACTTTTTCTTAGCAGCCCCCTTTGTAAAGACACATGCGTAGAACAAAACGTGCTAATCTCATAAGCTTGTGTTAACCACTGACCTTATTTCAGGCATCTAACGAAAAACCCTTTTAAAAAAACCATTAACTTCTATAACAATAATTAATTACTATTTTCAGACACGAATTAACAGATATTTGGCGTAAACTGTTCATCCATGCATGTTGGAGTGCAGCAGTGTGACTCATTGATGTTTCTTATAGTTTCTGGACAACAGTGGGGATACATCAGGCTTTGGCATCACAGACAGTAATTGTTAGGGATCATTTCATTGTTGGTTTTGATCTTTATTGGGAGTTGTTGACTATAGGAATGCCACTTTGGATTATCTGTCAGGTACCTTTTGGTATTTTCTCCACGTGTCTCTGGATCTCCACGTCCACACTGAAGTGGATGTAGGTATCTTCCTTCCTGGAGGCCACAGGTGTGTCCTGCACTGGGTATACATCTAAGCCGTTCAAATCTGCAGGAGAGAAACACAGAACATGATGTTTTTGGCACATTCAGAAATGTTATCCTCAGATTGTTTTCAGGGTGAAGTGAGTAGACGGTGACCTTTGAGACTGACGGTCATGTACGGGTCGATGCACTGCCCGGCGTCCTTCAACCCAATTTTTTCAATCTTTAGTGTTAGTAGTCTCATCCCATGCTCTGATGGTAACCGTGGCAACAAGGTACCTGCAGAGGACAAAGGTTACGGACATTAACAGTTGCTATAACAACAGGTGGTGACATCACTGTGGACCACAGAGTAGCCAATAGCAGAAAATGTTTTCAGAAGCGTGCTTTATAAGATTATATTGAAGGATTTTTTGTTCGAAACCATCTAAATATTAAAAGTTAAAACAGCTCTATAGACTGTATATAGTCAAATTAATGTTAATGTTTAAAGGGGCATTGTTAAGCAAATGTTAAGGTTCATATTTGAGTCAAAAGTCAACTCTGGTACTCTGCTTTATTCACATTTCTTGTCAATTCAGCAACAAGCTGTGATTTTACGCTGATAAAATCCCCTCTCTCATGCAGGACTGAACACATTAAGATGTTGTCGATAAAAGGCGTACCTTGCGAAGCTGCAAATGAAGCAGGCAGGAATGAGCGATGAAGCCATGCACAGCCCCGACAGAGAGAATCAAAGAGACAAACGGTCAAACAAACAGCCCTCAGGAACAGGACAACACAACAAGTCAAACTTCCCTCAAACAGCGGGTGTGTTTTATTAAGTGGTACAGTACCGGGGGCTCGGGGGGGGAAAGCCTCGGTGCTCCCTGCTCCTGCGGCAGCATCCTCCTCCTCCTCCAGCTCCAGGTGCTCCTCCTCACCTGGAGCAAGGATTCTCCTGACAGTAGAGGAATGGATTAGAAAATACTCAGCAGAATATTCTGTAAAATGCATATGAGATGTTTTGTGGTGGACATTTACCTTAAGGGCACTGGCTGCACGTCAAAGGGAAATACTTTGTTGTACGTCAGAATATTTTGAATGACTGTTGACACAATGAGAAAGATCAGTATTACTGGAAACGACAGGAGCAGTAACAGGTAGGTTTTTGAATCCCAGTCGCTCCACTTACTGGTTTCCAGTTTCTTCAGCTCTTCTAACTTGAAGTCCTCCTTGGACTGTGTGCACTACAGAAGAGCAGACACATGTAATACATCTCTGCAAAAGTGAATTGAGAAGAAAATAGGACATTTCTTTGATGACTCAGAAAGAACCACAACACCTCCTTGAACGTTGAAGTTAACAGAATGATGAATAATTTCCCCTTTCGGAATGTATTGTTTTATATGACCGAAAATGTCGTATTTACTTATTGATCCTCATAATTATGTTTTTGTTGTTTTCATCTCTCTGTAAAGCCCTGTCATCAATTGGCTAGACCTTCTGTAAAGCTGTAGATATGAACCTGTTGTGTGCCATTCGTATTTCATACAGACTCAAAAACAATCACACAAACCTGCAGACTGCCACTTCTCATTTCCAGACATGATGCAATTTTTCCCAAAGTTTTCTAAAAAAAGAAAGAAACAGGTTAGTTAATGAAGGATCCTTGAATGAACAGTCCAACGGTAAAACGAGATGTAAGGATTACCTTCTGCTCCTCTGTGAAGTCTGATGAATTTGTTGACTGGACCTCTTTTTGCAGTTGTCTCGCTAAACTAAACAACACAGAAGTTTGTTAATGCTTTGCAGCAAAAGGAGGCTAAATTATGTGTGTTTGCGCCCCCTTCTGTTCAAAAAATAAGTAGTCAGGTTTTATGATATTAAAGCAATTTCAGAAAAACAAAACATGAATGCATTGACAAAGCAAATCACATATTTAAAAAATGTGTTTAAACTAGGACCATATAGATATAGTCTGAAAGCAGGAAACATTCCTGTATAAACAGAGGAAAACCCACCCATAACAATGAGAGGGTGTGGCTGACTATTTCTCAATACTCTGAGGGGATATTGGCCCCATTTCTGTACTGCATGAGATATAATGAAACGCATTGTACGCAGATATGCAGGGCTTTTTCTCCACAGACAGGCTTTGTGAAAGGTTTTTCCATGCACACATACTGCTGGTGGATTAATCTGGGATGCAACATCCTCCACATACACACACACACACACACTCTTGTGCTGCCTCTGCAACAACTGCCACATCACGTCATAGATGGGAAGGGTTTGTTTACTGCTGAGAGGAGCTGACTGAACTTCTTGTGAAGACCATTGCACTCACTGTCTCCTACATGCTGTAATCTCCCTGCACATCTAAGGTTTTTTAAAGAAAAGTGGGGAAAAAAGCATGCTCTGCAGAATAAAACAGCTGTATGGAGAGGCAGGATACACATGTTGAATGTGACTTACATTTGGTACTCATCTATAGCCTCCACTAATTGTCCCCAGGAGTCAAAGTCTGTGCCTTTCCTAAAACTGGCGTGCCATTTCTGAATAGTCTTGTTGACATCAGACATGTTGGCGGGGCGGATACTGGCGGCTCTCTCAGGGCAGCATAGCCGGGGAGGAGGCTCATCTACGGGGCTTCAGCGGCGGTGGCAGCGGCGTCTTCAGGCCGGTTCTCTGCTGCTCCGGTGCCGTACAGATACACCAGTGACAACTCGACCAAGCCCTTTCTGCCTACTCAGTATCGCATCCGCAGGAGAAAGGAAGTCCCGCCCGGCGAAGAGGGGTGCGCTCGTTATGGGAGACAGGGTACCCCGAGTGGACGGCAACAGGATGTGTGTGTTGGTTGGAAAGAAGAGGTGGAAACACTGTTGCAAAAAGCAAGGTCTTTCTATCACAGCACAATCAGTATTTTTGGGAGAGTATACATTTGCTAGGAGCAGCGATGGAATAAATACTCTGTACAAATTGGAAGTGGAAGGAAAGTCTTTCATGCACATTTTTGTAAAAATAAAACGCCGTATTTTTTATGATACTGATATTGTTTTGAGATACTTTTACATTTTAAGAAAGTTCTCATTATTCTTTATATTATTTAACTATTTATTCGTTTGTTTACTTTTGTTTTAAATGTGCTTTTTTTTCTTCAAAAATAATAAATTATATATATTTTTGTATTAATGCATGTTAACGAATGATGTGACATGTTTGTATTTTACCTTGTACATTTTACTTTTTTTATTTTTATTTAAAGTGGAGCTAGTTACGAAGGTAATTTAATGTCGATTGATTTAGTAATAAATATCAATCGATTTAGTAATAAATAATAATAATCAATAATAATAATAATAATCAATAATAATAATAATCAATTCTGAATGAAAATTCTGTATGAAAATAATCAGTTTCACTCTTCACTCTCGCTTTTATTTTGGAAACAAACAAACGTTTCCGGTTTGGCACCGTGGCTACGTTAGCTACAGGTTCGCTATGGAGGAACTACACAGTTAGCGACGTGTTTCAGGTCGTTGTAGCCCCTGACAGAATGAAATAAGATGGACACTGTAACAACAGACTCGTCTGCGGCTGAGGAGGATGTATATTCAGACTCTGAGGTGTTATGTTTGATGAGAGTCGGAAGAACTGCGGACTGGCTTCGCTTGTTCGAAAACACTGAGGTGCAGTTTGCTAATGCTAGCTAACTAACGCTAGTTAATTTACCACATAATAAAACGTTATCAAGTTTAGGATTCTTCACATGAAATACATTCCTCATTCCTGGTTTACTTTTATCGTTCTCTTTGTATATCGTTATGTACATGAACTATAAGCTGCACAGTAACTGACTGTTGACGTGTTGTTTGACTCTAGATAACCATAGGACGAGGTCTGGATGTAACTTACCAAGTGCTGTCTCCAAGCTGTGCTCTGATGATCTCCAGACTGCACTGCACATTCAAGCAAAGGGAAGATGGACAGTGGACAGTCACAGACAAGAAGGTAAGATTAAAGTCTTTATTAGGATGTTTCTTTTATTGATTTAGCTACATAAACAAATGATATGTAATGAGAAAATCATTAAAGGTGTAGAAAATACAGACAAAAACTAGAGAACTAGAGTCTATGATAAAGGACATGTTATGCTAATGAGTATTAGAACTGCAAGTGGAAACGGATTCATCATTATAGTTATTTATCATGAAAAAAGCGCAGACAATTTAGTTTTCAGCCTCTCAAATATAGTAAACTAACTAGTATAGCTACCTTTTTTAATATTGCACAGCTGTCCAGTTTTTGTAACAATACTGCACATATTTGATTGTCATTTTATACTGTACGTAGTTTTTTTGGTTTATCCATATTTAATGTAATTATTTCTCTATAGTTTATTGCTATAATAGTTTATATTATACTTTAATTTTTTGGACCTTTTTCTTACAATTTATCTTCCTTATTTGTGTTTATGTATGCACTGTATACACCAAGGAAAGCTCCTCGTATGTGTTATCCTACTAGCGATAAACCTGTTAATGATTCTGTATCCTTTTGATATTCTCTGTCTATGAGTGTTACATTTTACTGCAGCCACTGAATACATTGTTGCTTTTTCCGTCAGAGTCTCAACGGTGTATGGGTGAATGGAAACCGCATATCCGCTGAAAAACCACATCATCTCAGGCTCGGAGACTCCATACAACTTGGAGTTCCTATAACTGGAACCTACGTGGAGTTTGACTACATCCTGGTCCAGCGGCCCCTAAAAGACATTAAACTCTACCTGACAAAGCGACACAAAGATGGCGCTAAATCAACCCAGGTTTCCAAGAAGTCCAAGAGGAAGTTGACCGTGGAAGAGGTTGAGCCGTCGACCTCAAAGCCCAAACTCTACCGCTGCTCCTCTGGTGACAAGTCGTTTGCAAAGCCCTGCCCTCTGTCACCAGTGAAGCGGCAGCAGAGGCTCAGTCACAGCCAGCCGGAGGAAACCGGACCCAATTTGCAGATGTAAGACAAACCTTGTGCTTTTTTATATTATCATTACATTTGCATCAGTTTTCCTTAAAGATACATCCAGCAAAATGTTGTTTTTTATTAAGGTAATTGGACAGTTTCATCTCCCTTTTAAAGTATAATATGTAACATGTTAAATGTCTTAAAACAATTAGACCTATATATTTTATTTAGTTGAGTTGTTTGCCTCCTAAAGAATATTTAAACCTATTAAAATCTGTAACTTAATAATTAACACCACCGTATTCCCTCTTTTCTTATTGTTTTAGAGAGCCATAGTGGCAGGAAATTACAAATTGTGCATTAACGTCTTGTTTTTTTGTATTTTTGCAGGTACAGCCAGAACATCCTGATACTGAGGGAGCACGTGGACGACACCCAGAGGCAGGTGGCGTCTTTTGGGGGAGAGCCGCAGCAGGCCGACCCGCTCAGAGAGGAGCAGGTCAGGGAGCTGCAGGGCCAGCTGGAGACCCTCAGAGCCAAGATGCACCGGATGGAGACGCTAGAAAAGTCCTTGGGTGAAACTAAGAGGAAGCTAGAGGTGAGACATTTTCGATTAACTTTCAAACATGGAGTAAACATCACCAAAAACTGTTACTCCAGTTTCAAATCAAATCAAATCAAATCAAGTTTTATTTATATAGCACATTTTTAAACGATTTTTGGTCGAGCCAAAGTGCTGTACATATAATAAAAATACCCTACAGTAAAGACACTTTACAGCAAATACAACAGCACAGTTTGTTCAGAATATCAGTATGAGAAAAACGACACCCTCTGTCCTTTAGACCCTCACATCATACAAGGAAAAACTTCCGGAGAAAAACCCACATTTCAAAGGGAAAAATGGGAGAAACCTCAGTTTCAACAACAATTGCTGCGTTTCATTGTGGTTGTGTTTCCCGTGTTGAAAAAAATTATATTATATTAGCCCCCTAATATGGAATGTACTACCTCATAGGGCTGTACCCGAATATCCGGATATTCGTTCGTTGGAGTACTATTTGGGTTTCAATTTCGTTATTCGGATATTCGTGTTGTTTGTTTTTTCGTTTTTTTCCCGTTTTTTTTTCAAATTGAATTTATTGAAATCTCCAATATCAACGTAAGAGCTTGTGCCTCTTCGGGGGGTGGTAACACTTAACCATAAACGTTATCGTTTACTTTCTCCGTCTTTATGTAGATATTACTTTTCTCCTTAATCTCCGTCACGTTGTTTCCAAAACAACAACAACTTCCTGTCAACTGCGCTAACTCTCCTTCAAAATAAAAGCATGTCCATAAATAGGAAGCCAAGCCAAATTACACTTAAAGGGGACCTATCATGCAAAATGCACTTTTGTACGTCTTTTATACATGAATATGTGTCGCCGGTGTTCCAGGGAACTCACCAAGTGTCAGAAAACACAACCCTCTCTATTTTCCTCCATACCCAAATCTCTAAAAACGGGGCTGCAACGGATCTGATAAAAACTGATCCAGATTTGAACACGTTACTGACGTCAGGACGGTTGCGCTACGGCTATTGGGCCAACTCTCCACCTATCAGGGGAATGTGGGGTTGGGCCACGGCCGGCCATTGCCGCTCGAAAGCGCTGGAGACGCTGTAGTACATATGCCAGGCCTGTAAGTGGCGCTGTAGTCTGCCACAAAAGCAGCGAAGAGGACTTCTATAACAATATAGACATAACATGGTTGCCATGGTTGCCCTTCTGTTTATTCTCCGCTGTGGCTCTTTTTCTCCCTCCCCGAGGCAAGCGTTTGCTCCTGCTGCTGTAATTCTATGCAATCCCTCCCCATCGAGGCAAGCACTGTAATTCTCTCCGGTTAGTCCACCAGCAGATGACAAACACCCACCTCTCCGCCTCTTCCAAGGAACGAGGGGACCGCGCGGCAGAGTTTCAGTTAGGTTTTTTTTCGCCGGTCAAGATGTCCGTTAAAGTTTAAATCTTCCCGACAAAATTAGAAAAGTGCCGGTCAAAGGTCTTCTTTGTTATTTATTGAGCTTTAAAACAAATGAATAACGACTCTATATAATAATATAATAAAACACGGAGGACGGAGATCTCCCCCCTCTTCTGACAGCCCAGCAGCTGTTCAGAGCGCGCTCCCCTCTCCTGCAGGGGGGCGTGGTCAGCTGCAGCTCACAGAATCAGCCCCCTGCAAAAACAGTGCTGGAAAGAGCAAATGGAGCGAAATGAGGCATGGCTAAAATGCAGGATCTGTTTGGTATTTTGAAAAAAAAACTATATTTATATACTTTATATAGGTATGGCCCTACAATATATTGTTCAAATATAGCATGATAGGTGTCCTTTAAGACATATACAACTGCAACGAAAGTAACAAACACAATGCGATATCCTTTTCAATTTCAAAGAACACAAATTGGGTTACATTAACAAATAACTATAAAACAACAATACTGTATAACAAAATGAATGCCGTGAATACACCGAAATACACGTGTTGAAGCGGTTCGCTGCTGATTACTATTCGAATATTCGCTGCTGATTACTACCGAATATCCGGAGCCCGAAAAATGGTATTCGGGACAGCCCTACTACCTCATAAGTGTAGATCATTGAATTACATTTTTAGATGCACAATAAATTAATATATTTGAATTTTAGTCGAGCTTTTTTTGGTATGAAAAATATACTGATATTCTGATATCCACTGTGTGCATCATGTTTGTTTGTGCTTGTCTAGCACTGTAATTTGTTTTGTTTCACAATTTCTGTATTTCCACAAAAAGTGTAACCTTTTTTGTATTTAGGAAGAGAAAACACAGCAACAAGAAGAGCTTTTAAAGAAACAGTTGGATGAGGCTTTGCAAGAGGTATGTTGCATAAAAGATTTTATTTATTGTTCCACCTCAAATACATAAACACAGTATTTGTGTCTATATAATAGGGATGTATTGTATCTTTAAAATGGCTCTTGTATGGATTTAGTTGACTGATATTTTGAAGTAGTCTTTTAACTTCTCAAACTGTTTTCCCTGTCCTCAGCAAAAGAAAGTAATAGACGAACTTGCGCTGTCTCGGGAGGGCTTTGAAGAGATTCTCCTGGCCAAAAACAAAGAGCTCGAAGTGTCAAAGGTATGGCAATATTTAAAAGAATTTAAACATGCTTGATGCGTTCTATGGCATGGCATCAGCAAAGCTTTATTCATATATTTTGTGTTGTTTTTGCAGGAGGAGAAAGAACAGGCGAGGGCCCAGAAAGAGGAAGTAGTTACACAAGTGACTGAAGTTCTGGAGAACGAGCTTCAGTGCATCATCTGCTCCGAGCTCTTCATTGAGGTAGGATTAAGAGAAGCATGGTGTTGAAATCGAATCATTAACTTGTACTTTTCCAGGTGATTCAGAAGATGTTGTCCTTAACCTTTGAGCTGTATTGATCCCTCCTACAGGCAGTCATCCTGAACTGCGCTCACAGCTTCTGCAGTCACTGCATCAAGCAGTGGCGCAAAAAGAAGGACGAGTGTCCCATCTGCCGCCGGGCCATCCAGTCCCAGACCCGCTGCCTGGCCCTGGACAACTGCATCGACAGCATGGTGGAGAACCTGAGCCTGGACATGAAGTCGAGGCGGCAGACCCTCATCACTGAGAGGAAAGGTGAGAGGTGCGTCATCGACAGTGCCTATTATCTTACTATTGATAAAGTTAGAGACACAGATTTATTTTTTAAACCTCATTGTTTTTAAAGAGAAACAATAACAGGACACTAAAAAGCAAAAGAAGTCCTACGTAATGGTTGCCGGTGAACTGTATTTTTGTACTTTACAATTATTTTACACATAAGTATTACACAAATAACTCAAAGTAAGCTTGTGACAAAAGGGTCATTATCTCAGGTCAGTGGGCAGCCTTGAATACTGTAAGGGAGACGTTCAGTGAGAACAGGAATCATTCAACAGGAAGAAGTTGAATATTATATCAGCCTTTTAGGTGTGGTGTGTTTTGAACACAAATCATCCTCTCAGTCGGTGTGGTTGCTTCTTAGATTTGTTTCCCTTTAGTTTCAGGCCGTATCTTGGCTTTGGCACTAGTTCATTGATATTATTTATCACCTCTTCATTTTATTATTTTGCACAGAATTGTCATTTGAAAATACTGCTCATTGGTTTACATTTCTTTTGTCTGAAGAAAGTGGAATTGGATCAAAATCTGCCCCCATTGGAGGTCTTAAATATGTGACACAAATGATGCTTTTACTTAAGATTCTTTTTTCGATTTTCTTATGAGGGCTGTTGGATATGTGGAAAATATTCATGGTTCCGCTGTCACGGATAAGGGTGTTATAAAGTCATAAAATCAAATGACTTTCAACTTTTTAACATATGAGAAGTGAAATGTGTTTTAACATACAGATATGAAAAATAAAGCTTTGCTAGTTTTCCCAAACTGCTATCTTCCCTGCCCTGCTACATTATTCTTGTAGGGTTTTTTTTCCCCCGCTGTGATGAACTTCATGTTTGATCTGTCAGTGTGTGACAGTGGAGTAGCGTCAGGATCACACTCGTGCACAAGTTTCCACATGGATGACCCATACAGCATAAATATCTGACTGATGCTGTGCTTACTAGCAGTGGTGTGCAGTGCCACATTCATCAGATCAGATGACTGGGGAGCCTTGGCATGTCTGGCTGACCTCAGTGACTAATGTCCCCCCCCCCCCCATAGCTGTAAGCACTGATGTGTCCTTGAGCAAACTGCAAAGGCTCTAAGAGTATTTCATTGACACACTGCTTCACCCTGTATCCAGTTAATGGATCATTTTAGAATGTGCTCGTTGGTGGAGTGAGGGAGTCCTGAGTGTGGATCACACTAAACATTTCAAACACAAGGTGGCAGCACAACGAGGCGGATTCATTTCTGTTTTTTTTGTTGATATTATGATAGTATTTTAGGAACAGTAAACAATGAATTTGTGATGGTGTTAAAACTGAGCTTACTTTCTCTAAATAAACAAAGGTGGATTCTCAAAACGGGACATTTTGATTTGTGTTATGAAACAAAAATCACAAAGACTATGAAGATTAAGGAATATAAAAACTATTCTCATAATTTAGGTAAGATCAAAAAAACTATAATTCATTCTGCTAATGTTATTTTGAGTAAATCCAACATTCACAAGGCTGCTGTAAATACTCAAGAGCAGCAGATGTGTATCTGCAGCTGAAAACAGACAAACAAGATACCAACAAATACTCTATTTATCGCTGTTTATCTGATTTGCTGAAAAGTTAAATTACATTTTTACTTTTAAAGATCTTTATTGAGTGGGAATCACATTTTGGACTGAGTGCAACAGACAGGTTAGGGGAGTCAAAAAGTACTCTGAGACAAACTGATGCCTTGTCGGGTTAAATCCCTCCATGGATTTAGTTGTCTATCAGAAAATACCTCTAGAATAATGTGTCTACAATTGGATTCAAATGACTTGAAAGTGGCTTAGATGGAAAGTGCGTCCCCTCAAAGAGAAACTCTCACTGTATCTCTGTTTCTGTGTGTTTCAGCCGCTGACTCTGGTGCTCAGGTGATGGTGATCCATGATGACGACAGCAGCCTGAGCAGCGACAGCGACAGCAGCATGGTGTCCATCGACAGCAGCCTGAGCTCCGTGGTCTCTGTGGATACGTACAGCAGCGTCCACCTGGACTCCAGCACGCCCTGCAGCGACTCTGACGATAGTCTGGATGTGTTTGGCGATTAGCCCTGCAATGTGAATTGGACTGTTTTTGGTGTTGTTTGCGTTTCATTGGATTGTTCCCAGATAGTACATCGAGGTTGGTCTCATCATGGAGTCCCTTTACAGGAATCTGATAAGGTTTATGTTTTTCTCTTTGTAAAGTTATCAGTTGTCTCTTTTGCTTTATTTTTGAAAAAAATGGAATAAAAATGTTTCTTCCTATGCATTTTTGAAGTCACATGTTGACTTTGTCCAAGCATTGTTTCCTCAAGTGCCGTCTACTACAAACAAACTCACATGTTGTGACGTGTTAAAGCTTTTATCAGAGAGACAGAGGGGAGACAGTTTAAGGGTCTAACCAGGGTTTCTGTTTTTAGCTGTGTTAGTAGCATGACTTTATGAATGGCAATATTGTTCTATAGATTGGTTCACCACTTTTGTCCAGGCTGGATATCTAGAAAAGCATTTGATGGATTTAGACGAATTTTGTACATTCGTAGTATTCTCAGGAACCTAAGGCTTTTGTTGTAGTACCTACAGCAACTCACTGTTTTCTTCTATCCTGCAAACTATTTCAGTAACTTCTAGATATAAAACATTATTTTTTAAATGCTCAGTACTTTCGCGTTCTCTACATGTACCTGACAGTCTCATCAGCCTTTGCTGTGCTATGTGTTAAGCCCGAATGAGCATGTGCTGTTATCATGCTAACACACTGAACTAGCATTTAGCTAAAGCACCACTGTGCCGAAGTACAGCCTTGCAGAGCAAACTCATTTACTATCACTGCACAGCCTGCAAAGATACATGTTCAAATGTATTTTGAATTAGACCAATTAGGTTGGCAAAAATAATAGTTATGTGATGATACTGTTTTTATTGTTGTATTTTGTTTCATTCAGTGGTGCCCTGCTTTCTGTTCTTCCCCATGCCCTCTGGGAGTCGCTCCGCTGAGACACGAGCTGTGGTGCTTTGCTGAAAGGCTCCTGGGCCGGGCGTTAATCACTCCCACTGGCAACTCTCCAGAGATATTCTCATACTGCATCACTGCTCCTCACTTACATCAACAAATATATTATTTGTAGAGCTGGTGAGATAATCGATCAGTTGTCAACTATTTAATTATTTGTCTACTATTTATTTTTTTAAATCGAAAAACAGTCAATATTCTTTGACTTCAGATTCTTTAATATGATGGACAAAAACTTTAGTTGAATAATCCAGGAAAATGCAAGAGTACAATTGTGAGAAATTGGCACCATTTAGCAAAAGCAAAGTTGTAGATTAATTTTTCTTTTCTTTTTTAGTAGAGCTGGGGTTGTTATTTGATGCTAGATATATTATAACGTTAAATGTTTTACAAAATATGAAGCATTTAGAGCTACAGTACATGACAATGTGCACTACTGGAGTGGGCGTTACATTCAAAAATAGATTTTACATCTTGGAAAGAAACTTCCAATTTTACAAAATCATCCCTTTTCTTGACAGCAACACACATGCTGTGTAACCTAGCAACTAATGCAACAGCGCCTTGAGATCTGAAAGTGTGTGTGTGTGTCCATTAAAAACTTGCCTATATGGGTATTTTTTAAGTGAATTCCACTATCTTTAGGCCAAATGTATTTTCACTTTGACTACTTTTAGGCCAACTACAAACATAAAATCATGCATTTTGCAACTAATGTAAAATATATTATACCAATTTCTGGAAAGATCATTTCAATTGCGGAGTATGACATAAGTATTAATGTAATTCTGGATCTCACCTAGTGTATAATCAGTAAAAAATAGCATAACCCTTTCTGAGAAACTTCCCATTGATTTGTGTTTGTTGACAGCTGAATCATGCTGCCTTGTTTAGGAAGTGAATTGCCTCCCTGATCAGTGAACCTTCCTGTGACACTTCTTGTTTTGGATTCATGAGCACACATAACACCGTGCTTCATCCCACACTGACCCCCCCTCACAGAGAGCTGGCCTCCCATGCTGAGGATGTCACGACAGTCCATTAAAGCCGGAGTACGAGGGGAGCGTGTGTCTGTCAGTCTGTATTACATGAGGACGACAGAGATGGAGGGCCTCGGGGCTACAGTCAGCTTCTCAACCCTCAGACTCTGGGAGCAACCTGAAGTCAGTAACAGCACCCTCTCTCTCTTATGTCTTTCTCTCTTGTCCTTTTGGTCATTTTAAATTGCATTCTACTTTTTTGGTTTCTCTTTTTGTAAAGTGTTTTGCATCACTTTGTAGACATTTGGAGTGTCTTTGTGGTTGAATTATGTCCCTTTTTGGTGGTTTTGTCTCTCCTTGTGATCATTTCCCCTCTCTTTGTGATAATTAAACAATAAATTAGATTAGATTAGATTCCTTTATTGCCCGATGGTGCAATCACACATAACAGACAGTATAAGTATCATTGTTGACAATACAAGCTAAACATTTGTAATATATAATATATAAAGTGACTATAATTGGACCTATGATACATTGAACAGTACACTTACAAAATAATACAACATTACCATACAAATACAATAACAATACGGTCAAGGCAGTAACAAATGTAATCAAGTCAATAAGTAAGTTATTGCACATGTATTTATCAGTGCAGTTGATAATTACAAAACTAGACGTAAATATGTGTTCTATAAAAACGGTATGAGGTAGAATATAAGGTGAAGTTGGATGTAAACATGTACTTAGTTGAGCTTGAGCATAAGTTCAGTTCAGTTCCATGTGCTGTGATTGTCTGGCTGTGTTCAGCTCATGTATGGCATTGGGGTAAAAGTTGTCCTTATGTCTATTTGTCCGTGATTTGATGGACCTGAACCGTAGCAACCTCAAAGAAAAGGCTAAGACCCCGGACCCTCCTAACCTGTTCAGTAATCTGTCCATCCTTTTGGCTCTCAGCATTTGAACCACAATCAGTTTTTGGTGCATTATGTACCTGACTCTATCCATGTCATGGCAGTATTAAATAGCTACAGCTGACAAGGGAGGGGCTTGAAAATAATATTCACCTCTATTTCAGTCTTGTTTTTACACTTTTTTGAAAACCAGAAAACCATATTTTATTGTTTTTTTTCACTTATTTTCTGTTATTTAATAACAACCAGGATTCTCCTAAGTTGATATTCAGTGATATATACACGCCCACATAGCTTTCCATCTGCTCTGTGTTGTTGTTTGTATGAAAGATGGATTCACTCAGTATGCTCTTATCCAAAAAGCCCATGCTCCATCTGCCAGCTTTGCAGAATCCAAATGTTCCTCACAGCGTGATCAGGCCGAAAAGTGCTGCAGCTCCAGCACAGCCTCCTGTAACACTGATGTCACACAGACCAAAAAATACAATAATTCAGCAGTCCTATCAATTTTTTGTCGAACTCTTTGGGCTGCATAATTGCATCAAGTGGGCTGCTTTAAAAATACAGTCATAAGTATTGTGTTGCATTCCTGAAAATCGGAAATTCAGCTTTTATAACAGTTATATTTATGCAAAGCTATTGTTGACTCACAATTCCAATTTATACACCCTGTGTTCTCCACAATTCCTTTATCAGATATCCTCTAAATAGTAGCAACACATGTAAATGCGAAAAGTTTTAGCTAGTTACAGCATGTTTAAAAAAAAAAAAAACACTTGCCGTAAACGTAGACTGGCCGTAACGCAAGGTAACGGTCAGTGCTGAGTACTCAGATGTCCGAGGTTCAGAAAGTAAACACGGAGCGTCCTGTTACCAAGGAGACGATTTTAGCCCATTCCAGTGCACTGCAGGTAAAGTTAACGTTTGAACGGACTGCATTCAGTTATTTGTATGTAATTATATGCTTTTAAACCAAGTTAAGCATGACTATTTTTACCAGTTTTCGTAACGATTTACTGGACAGCAGTTGTAGTAAAATATTAAAATTGTAGCTAACATTAGCATGAGGGGTCTGTTAGCTCATAACTTATTTTAGAAACAGTTTGTGCTAGCAACAGAATGTGGCTGCATACGGTAGCTGTATTTATAGAATTACTTATAATGTATGTATAAGTATATTTGAAATACTATGTCCAATTGCTGTGATGTGCAACTTTTAATGTCTCATGTAATGTTTCTTTAAGGTTTTCAAACTCCTGCAGCCATGTCCAGGTCCCCTGACCCCCCTGAGGCTGCAGACCCCAGAGAGTTGAGGAGGATCATCGCTGAAGACGCTCACTGGTTCCTGAACACAGTGCCTTCTCTATCCAACCTCTGTCTGCAATCTATTGTGAGCAACTTCGAGGGTATGCTGTGGTTTTAAATATAGTTTTTATCAGGGTTGGTTCAGATTACATTGAAATGTAGTCAGTTTCCTCAATACAAACTACATCATTTTGGATTAAGAAACTAAATCTATTGCATTACAAATGTTTTAATGAAATCTAAATAGCTTTTAATATTTCAAATCTGAAAATAGTTCACCTTGTATTGAAAAAATGGACACAGCCACAAAAAATGATTTCACAAATATTATTATTTGTTTACTTTTTAAACATGTCTCACTTAGAGAATTAAATAGCAAAGGAAATGCAAATATTACCATTAATTATCATGAAAGAAAGTTTCAAAATTGCCATATTTTCAAGACGTGATCAAATTCATCAAGTAATCTATGCCAATGTAACTATAATCCTATTGCATTTTTTTTAATGTAATCTGGGTTGAATATAGTAAAATATAGTAACACATAATCCACATTACATGTAATCCGTTACTACCCAAATTGATGATAATACACACACTTTTACCCACTTACCTTTTATTTAACTGGAACTTTTTTCAAACTTTCCTGTTACAGAAAGGCCCATATGGGAAGACCTTTCCCCCATCCACAAAGACTTTGTGCAGGAGAGACTGTCCACCTCCATGCCCCTGCATGTGACAGCCAACCTGATCCACGACGGGGTGTACTGGAAGCGCTGCTGCGAGAAGTGGGGGGGCATTCGTGACCTAACTCATTATGGCAACAGCTGGAAACGAATGTTCTTTGAGAAGCACATGGAGAACATGATTGAGCTTTTTATCCCAGATGTAACGGAGCCAAAGACCTTTGTAGAGATGGTTCCTCTTTGTAAGGACTACATCAAGAGGCTAAACATCTCCCAGCTCCTGCCGCCTGTCACGGAGCCGCAGAAGGACGAGGAGGAATATGGCTCCGAGTTGGTCATTGAAAATAAGGACGGACCCTCCATGGACCACTTTGACTTTAACATCATGCTCGACAAGCTGACAAACCTGGAAGAGTTCCATGTAGTGTACAGGGTCAAACAATGTGGTCTGAACTTCGAATGTAAGATGTTCGAGATGACCGACAGAGATTGTGAGTCCCTCGCCAAGGCTGTGAAGTCCTGTAAGACTTTGAAGGTGAATAATGATTCCTCTTTACTAAATCATGCAGCCTTTTGTAGCTCCTTTGCCTAAATATGTGGAGTATTTTTGCCAGCTGCAAGGCATCATTTACACATTTTACAGTCCCTGATGTCCTGAAACAGGAAAATTGTTGTTGGAGCTGCACAAGCAGGAAATTCATGCTCTATTTATGTCAAAAAAAAAACTGCAGGGCCTCTGGCTGCAACCTAAATAAGTCACTATTTGACTAAAGTTTTGTCACATTAATTTGTTACTGCATGAGAACAGGAAATGAATCCGCTACTGATCTCTGTGCAAGACATGGAAACTGTACAAGATATTATTGGACCTGTTATCAAGCCTCAAGCTTATGAGTCAATTACATTTTTACTTAATAGTTAAGATTAAAATATACTAGAATAAATATAGAAAAATGCCAACGACAATTTCCTAGACGACAATTCTGACTGCTTGTGTCCGAGATGTAAAGATATTGAAGTTCCAATGATAAAACAGAGAAAATCAGCAAAGCCTCACATCAGAGCAGTATCAGACATTTTCTTTTATTTACTTCATTTATGTTATAGTGTATAAAAGTGCTCACCTCATGTATAGAAGCATGTGCGAAACAGTGCCTCATTGTTCTGTGTTTTTGTGGCGCGTTCATGCTGTCAAAGGAAAATTAGCAGCTCGTATTTTTACATTCTACGCCCCATGACATCTTATCTTTGCTCTGATCTATTCAGTTGTTTGTTCAACTCACCTTATAATCTTCATAACATCTTGTTTCCACAGATTCTAAGGCTCAATCTAAGCCACATGGAGGATACAAAGTGCCGGCTGCTGGTGAAATACCTTCTGGACCACCCGTCCCTGAGGGAGCTCGACCTCTCTCACAACCTGATCGGAGACAAAGGAGCCAGAGCCATCGGGAAGCTGCTCACCAGGAGCGGCCTGGAGACCCTGAACCTGTGTGACAACAATATCGGAGGCCCCGGGGCCAAAGCTCTAGCTCATGCCTTGTCCATGAACTCTACCCTGTTGTCACTCAACCTGCGTCTCAACCGTTTGAGAGATGAGGGGGGGCAGGCGATCGGGAAGGCCTTGCTGAACAACAACACCCTGCTTCTCCTGCACCTGGGAGCCAACGAGGTCACATGGCCCTCTGCCATCGCTCTGTCTAAAGTGCTGGTTCAGAGAAGCACCCTGAAGAGCCTCAATCTCTCCTGCAACAACCTGGGAGTGGTAAGTCAATTGCTTTTACTACACGCTTATGACCAGAGAGGGCAATACAAATGAAGTTGAACCTGAGGGCGGTGCCAGAGAAATGGCCATGTTGTCAATCATCCATATCAAAGGGTAACATTGCTTGTCAAGCTTAATTTGTTCCAATTTTTTTTTGTTTGCCCAAGAACATTATTCATTCAGCTCAATGTCGTATAAATGCTTATCTCTATTTACAAAAAGGAACCATAAAACGATATTATCTATATTCAGATAAAAGAAGACAATAAACAGATGATGCAAATTCAACAGCATTGTATTTTCTGGTTGGAACAGTATCGAAAATAATTACACAAAAAAGAAGGAAAAATATTAAAATTGAGGAAAATAAATAATAATATTAAGTAAAAATGTTAAAATAAATAACATAGACATAAAATAAAAAATCTTAGAAAATAGAATCAAGACGTGGCACTAATTGTATTTGTCAAACTATTAATGTCAACTCTCAATTTTTCACAACTTTCTTTTAACCTTCCAAGAAAATGTATTGAAACAAATAACCTTCATATTACTAAATGAAAGGATTCGTACATCTAGAAATCAAGATATAGGAGAAATGTGTTCAAAATGTTATCTTTTAAATTGTGTTTCTTTAAGAACTAGCACAGCGCGTGGCTCTCTGTGTAAGATCTTATGAAACACTGGGTTATTTTCAAATACTGGATTTCCGTCCTAAGGCATGCTGGTGCCTGCACAGACAGCATGCCTTGGAGAAAACAGACTGAATAGCTTGAAAGAATCAGGCCCATAAATTATTCATGGCAAACATGAAATAATGGAAAGCTACAGTCAGTAAGTAAGTGAGTGTTTCCCTGTGAGAGGTATATACGGTTTCCCCCTTCTCATGCTCTCTACCTCTTTATAAAGTGACTGGAATACACTGCGGAAGATCAAAAATCACACGCATAGCAGAAATGCAAAGTGCCGCACCATCAATATCTGTGACCTTGGTTCACAGAAATAGAACGCCTGTTTCAGACATAACAATAAAACATCGGTGACACTCACAATAAGCAGTTTAGAAAGTGTGGGCTATTTTAGAGCGCAAGAGTTTCCCGGGGGGGATTTCTCAAGGTTAACAAGACTGTGATGTGTTTAACATGGACATGCATCAGTGCCAAATGTGTTGGTTTGTTAGTTCTCTCTGACTCTCTGTGTGTGCAGGATGGAGGTAAAGCTCTGGAGGAGGCCATGTCCAACAACAGCAGCCTGACAGAGTGCGATATCCGTCTGACGGAGGTTGAGGAGCAGAGCGCGTCCTTCGTCAACCAGGTGGTGTGGACCAACCAGAGTTTAGAACAAAGGAGACACGCTCGGGAAAGTAAAACCAAAAAAACATCAACAGCTGTTTATTGAAATACAAACCCATATTCATTAGTGTTTAATTCCTGCTGTCCAGTATTCATTAAGCCGCCGAGCTTGGCTGCTATTGGCTGATTTTTTACAAAATGTCAGCACCCACAAAAACACAAAATATTGAGTTCTCTTGTCCATAGTAACATCTATCTACTGCACCTTTTGATAATTACTATTTGCAGCTTTGAATTATTGTGCCTATTTCAAATTTGGTTTTGTAGATTTTCCATACACAGATAATTGGCACAATATAAATGGTGTAAACATGTGTACAAGATAGTGATATTATGTGTTATCAGAACATATTAAAACATAGACCATGTATACAGTTTACTAGTGTATCACTAGGGTAATAAAAAATAGTTTGTATAGTTCGTAACCCTGATGTTATAATTTGTTGCATGTCTATTCATTTGGTTTCAGTCAAGGATATATCTAATTCTAGGGCAAGTTAAAATAAATACAAAATATATAGTTCATAATTTCCAATTGCATTCAATTTGTTATCAACAAAGGTTTGAATGTAAACAAAATGATATTTGGTGCAGCCTTAAATTACATTCTGACGTTTTCTTACAATTGTCATGAATTAATTTTTCACACTGTTTTTTGTGAGCATTTCAGTTTATTGAGGAGCCTTTTTGTCGTTTTGATACACAGATTTGGTTTTCAGTCCTTATGTAACATCAAGGCCACGTTGTGGTGGTGTTAGAATACATACACTCTCTTGTTGTTGTTGTTGTTGTTGTTGTTGTTGTTGTTTTTAAACCTATATCTACTGACCAATAATATAGAAGAACAGTGCTTAGTGGCAACAAAACATCTTAACTAATAATCTTGCAAAACTATTAATTGTTTTCCTAGAATCATCCCAAGAGAGGCCTTCTGTAATGGTGGACTAGCACACAGAGACATCTACATAGGATAAATGACTATCAATAATAACCCAATCATTTTCCTTAAAAAAAATGTTCTTGTGAAGTGTATCAAATATGTTTTTTAAAACGTAAATATGGGATTAAAGGGAAACAAACACCATCAAATAGCAAATGTTGCCTGAATCATTTTTACCTCGGATTGTATTGCCGTTTTTGACCAAACAAACCTACCATTCTACATCTGCACATTAAAAATGTCCCTGCCTCTGTTACCACTAATTGTGCGACACATTCCGCTAAGCAGTTCAATTTCACTGCTACGCCGATGACATCCAACTTTATATCTCAACAAAAACCATCACCCCCCCCACAACACACTCCACTCTCACCAACTGTCTCTCAGAAATAAAAGCATGGATGCAAACAAACTATCTTCAACTGAACAGTGCCAATCAGACATCATCATCATCGGCCCCCCATCCCGGACCAAAACCAGCCAGAATTTCAACTTCACCCTTGACAGCAACACTCAACCAATCAGAGACTGCACTGACCTCACCACCTTCAAAAAATTTACAAAAACTCACCTCTTCAATCTGGCTTTTTTAATGTGACTTTAACTATATTTATTTGTTGTTCTTTTCTTTTCACTATCTCTGTAAAGCGACTTTGAGCACCTGTAAAAGCGCTTACAAAATAAATCTATTATTATTATTATTATTATTATTAAGCACAAGATCCCTATCGACACTTTCATATTTTATTTACAATACAAACCCTTCCTGCCTTGAAAATCATTTAAATATAAAAAACAAATCCCCAGAGCATTATTGAGTGAAAGAGAACATATCATATCAACAACCTAATCTACTTCATACACATGATAAAGGGTTCAGTGCTTCGCATGACAAAAGCTTCAATGCTGCTAACAGTCGTCTACGGAGGAAAAAATGCCTAGTTATGAATCTAGTCAGATTTATAACCCTTTTAAATGGGTTTTTTGTTACTGTTGTTATGTAAACATTTCAGGGGTAAACAATTTTTTTTATATACAGACGTATGGATCACAGTGAAGCCATGTGAGAGGTTTGTTGGCTAATCATTAAGGACATAATGTCTTCAGTACAAAACAGTGAGTAAAGTCCAAAATCCTTTTCAAAATAGATTTAACTTTTTTTTTCTTGTGGACTTTGCATGCTGTTGTGGTGTTCTTATAGTTGTACACTTTACCCCACAGTACACGGACAGTATATTATTGCATGCCTTTTGACCAATGCATGCTGGGATATGTCCTTAATGAGAATCTCAATGAATGAATGAATGCATCTCAATCGCTCTGTCTTATTTGGTTTCCTGCTGAACGTTGCGTAGCATAACACCTCTTATCCATTAAGGGATAGTTAGACATTTTTGTGAAAAATGCTTATTTGTTTTCTTACTGAGAGTGAGATGACAAATCAATACCAATCTTATGGCGCATTTCCACTGCAGGGCCTCGCACGGCTTAGTACGGTATAGTTAGGCCTTGGTAGGCCAGGCTCACTTTATGCTGCGTTTTTACAGTTTAGTAGCTGGGGCAGTAACTATAGTAACGCAGTGTAGGCGGAGCCGTGACGTCATCTTCAATGCGAACCACAAAACCAACATCAGCCGTTAGCTGTTAGCTCTCAGAGCTCACAGCTCCTCATATCTGTTCAGAAACAAGACAAAAGTTAAACAAGTACAAACCACAGACTGCCTGTGTCATGGCGAATACAGTCGCTGGTTTATTTATGTCTGTATAGTTGTTGTGAGTGTGGATGGTCGGAGCATATACAACGTTAGCTTAGCCGATCTCCATTCAGAAAACACGCATTTTAAAAGGTTTTTCGCCTGCCGTCTGTCTGCAGACTTGTCAAAGCATTAATTCATGGTTTTTACTAACCGGTATCAGTATGTTGTTACTTCGGCATCATTTTGAAACGTGTATTACAATTAAATCACAGTCAAATATGTTCATTTTGTTGTAGTTGTAGCCCCCTTGCCAGCGATTCCACACAGTCTCACGGCATTTCGTGTTATAGTCACGAAATTAATCTATTGATTCGTGTTCACCAACACGATTTCGCCATTTTTTTCGTGTCACACAGAACGATTTTAAAAGCAATGTAAATAATAACAAATTAGAAAGAAAAAGACATTTAAAAAAATACAGATTTAAGTATTCTGACACAGAACGATTTTAGAAGCAATGTATTTATATTGGTAGTATGTTTCGTGCCTGCACCAAATAATAACAAATTAGAAGGAAAAAAAGATGACATAAAATACAGATTTCAGTATTCTGAGGCTCTGAGCCCCATTTCTTTTCCTCACTGACGGCAAAAAAACTCAGACATTATACAATTTAAAATAAAAGGGATAGGGTTAGGCTTAGGGTAAGATATTGAGTAAGAACATGTTTTTATGAACCACACAGCTTCTGGTCTTCCAAGACCCGACCGGACAAAAAGACGTGTTGCAGGCACGAAACATACTACCAATAGAAATACATTGCATTTAAAATCGTTCTGTGTGACACGAAAAAAATGTGAAAATCATGTTGGTGAACACGAATCAATAGATTAAATTAATTTCGTGACTAATAACACGAAATGCCGTGAGACTGGGTTGGCGATTCTCTCTGACCATTCAGCAGTCGAGAGTGTTTACGTCACTAGTTTAGCATATTCAGCCCGGTTGTTGGCCCGGTAAGAACCTCGATTTTGGAGGGCCAGAAAAAAGGTGAAAAAGTAGCCCTGAGCCGGAACTACCCCTAGCGGAAAAGCAAAAATAAACGGGCCGGGGTTTAGCACGGGGTGTTTATATTTAATATTCATGGACATTCTAATGGTTTTCATGGCCGTAAGGAATGGGGGAGAATTAATTTATCTTCACCTTCAGGTCTTATGAGTTGTAGGCTGGTTTGTACATTGATCTCTCTAATTCTATAGTTTAAATTAGCTAAATTGTAACTATTACCTAATATTTGGCAGTTTTGGCATGCCTGATTTTATCCTCCCATTTATTGTTGTGCATGGCTTGGCTGTACAATAATATTCGCCATGACTAACATACTGCATGAGGTCATTTCAGAGGATGTTCTTTAATCTTGTCATATTATTAAATCTGACACTATCAGTAGTGAATCCAGGCCTCTGCCTATTTCCAGCGTCTTTGATGGCGAGCTCTCTGATATGCATCAGCAGCAGCATCAGTGTACGAGAGCTGGGTTATATCATGAGGGAAATCATTTGAAAACATTTCGATTTTTTTAACCTTGTGTGTGTTGAAAATTACTTATATCACATTTCTCCAATGAGCTATTACAGGTAGGAATTCAACTTGTTTTGATGCGATGTTAAAAATGAGATTAATTTAGTTATGATAGCTTATGCTCTACAGTAACAGTTCATCGCTAGGCACTTAAACAAAGAGGTAGGCTAAATAGAAATATTGCCTAATATAAAATTAAATGCATCTTTGAGATTTTTAGACTTGCTGAGTTAACACTGAACTATTCTGGTGAGTTTTATTACTATGTAGTTGTCCGTTAAAAAAAGGTTAAATTATTTGGTAATTGATAGTTTGAAGAAGTTGTTGTAGATCTCGTGTCCTTTAGCCCTCCTGTGCTAAATTATTCATCGACTGTGCTGCTATATTTAGGAAGCCAGGAAGTATAATGTCATTGCAGCCGAGCCGATTTCAGCTAACTTGATATTTCTGCATCTGCATCCGACATTCATTTTTATACTGTGGAAATCTATTACTTAGAAAATTGATTATTGACTTTGAATGACAGATTTTAAGCATGTTTTTTATGCAGAATTTGAGCCTTAAGACCTGTATTTTGTTTCAGCAAAACATCTCGTCGTGTGTAACTTATGCTTTGACAAGAAGGCTGATATCTTTGCATTTTACCTCACAGTTCAGCAAATTGACTCACAAGAAGTGTGAGTTCTAAATATTGATGTTATTTCCCATTCACAAGTCCAATAATTGTCCTATTCCTTTCATCTCTTGGCAATTTAATAGGCTACCGCTGAGTCATACCCATAATAGGCTTCAAATACTACTCATGTTACTCCTCAAGTCCTTGACTAAGATCTACAAATATGGCATTTACAGTAGGATGTGAATCCCCTTGGTATTCCTTGGTTATTTGACTCTTGTCCTTGTTGACGCTGTACAACATTATGTGACACATTTTGGTCCTTTAAAACCATATTTCCTATAACAGTCTTATAAACAGCATCAAGTCTGTTTTATCCAGACTATGCTACATGGACTTTCCCATGTGTACTGGTTCTTGTTTGTTGAGGCTACAGTTTCTTTAGAAATTTGAAAAAAATCCTTGTTCGTGGTAACTTGCAGAGTTACCAATGTTGTAGAAGGGGGAAGCAGAAGTCAGTGTTAGCCGAGCCCTTTTCCCTCTGTTCCTGTGTTGCTACAGTCTATTCTCAGAGTGCTCTGTGTGTCATAGAGAAGTCTCCACACAGGAGCCGTTTCTGTGCAGGGAGCGGTGGTCGTGGTTGAGGCAGCCCTCGTTGCGATGCACTATGAGCACAGGGAAGCAGAGAGCGTCCTGGTAGTCTGGAGGGTTCTCCTCACTGCTCTGCTGGCCTGAGAGGCAGCGAGTGCTCTCTGTGGGGCGGGACCGCTCGTTCAGGCTCCCGCTGCTCCTCCACAGGCAGCTCCGCCTCGAGCCGTACAGCCGACCCAGAGAGAAGCGGCTGGCGCTGAAGGGGATTCGGGGGCTCCCTGTGTTGCAGATGCTGAGGGCGCTGCGAGAGAAGATGGAGGAGCTGCTGATGGCACGGTGGCAGCGTTCACAATTCTGCCTGTAGCTGTCGTAACCTCCACACACAGAGTAGTTGTTAGAGCTTCCCGAGAGCTGAGCCAGATCCATGAGAACTGCCTCCGAGTAGCTGGGCACCAGCTGCTGGTTGGATCGGATGTGCCACTCCAGCTCCGTGCTGTCGATTGTGTTGACTCGTGGGATGTGTCTGGATTGTGGCTGCTCCTCAGATGGCGTTGCTGGCACAAAGTCAAAGCCAAACAGCTTCTCTACATGGTAGTGTACACAGGCCGTGCGGTACTCTATCAGCACGCGCAGCGGCCAGGAGAGCGTGAAAGCAGCTGCCGCCCAGAAAGTGGAGTTGGCTGCGTACCAGGGAAGGTGATTTGGGTCAGAAAAGGCCACCATGTTCTCTTTAAAGTCTACATTCTTCAGGTGCATCCCCTCACGGGCCTCCATGTAGTCGTCCTGGCCCTCGTTCTCTGTGAAGAAACTGGCCCGCTGCGTCAGGTAGGAGTTCTCCGACTCCACATTGGCAAAGCTAAAGCACTTAGTGAACCTCAGCCGGGTGATAGGGAAGTCCTCCATGCCCAGCAGCTGCTTCGCGATGTCCTTAACCCCACAGTTCCCGTAGTCAAACTCCGCCTCAGCCACGTGTGTGTTGACTCGCTCGTGGTAGACCTGGGTGGTGGTGTAGGCATCTCCGTTACGGTAGCGCGTCACCTGCCGCGTCCTCCTGATGTAATGGTAGCTGATGGCCTTCCACCAGATGCAGGGTGTAGCCTGCTGCATTCGCTGGATACGCTCCGCCACACTTTCCACATCCACCTTGTACTGCAGGTCGTTCCTGGTGTAGCAGTGCCAACACTCCACCAGGTAGACCACGTAGAGCATGACCAGGAAGGCCAATGGGATGTAGATGTAGCCGTTGGAGCAGGGACTGTCGTGGTACATCATAGACTTTCCCTTGTAAGCGCTGTCGAAGGAGAGGCGTGTGACCTTGGTCACCTGGCACCAGGCCATCACCCCCACGCAGCCGTACATCAGCAGGGACAGCAGCAGGCATTTCCAGTGAGTCTCCTGACACAGGGATTTACTCAGGGACTGCTTCTGGGGCCGCTGCTACAGAGAGGATAAGAAAACAGCAATTTTATAATATTGAAAATATATTCGGTTTATATTCTTCCCTGAAAGTAAATTGGAACATCTGTTGGTAATTGAGCATGAGACGATGACATATTGCATCACAGGTCGCAATAAAAAACACTATAAATAACAATCATAGTGAATTTCCATTATAAGGATATAAGTGAATATTGTCCCATCATGGTAGAGAATTTATGTATTTGGTAAATTCAGTTTGTACTATCTGTCAATTCTTGTGAATATGTCCTGTGAAATGTTCCTATTGTCCCGAGTACTTGTAATAACACACTTTAATATCAAATTGGAATTAAGTTAATGATCAAGTGTGACCGTATGATCTAAATTCAAGTCAGTTACAAAGTTAGTAGTGGTTAAAATGTAGTGGCTCATGCATATAAAATATTTAAGGAAATATTCTGCGTTGTAAGTGCTTTTGCATAGTTTATGCATGAGCCGCCAGCCATTTGCTCATGCCTTGGTCTGTGCGTGTTATATTCAGAAGACTCACCCACTCTTTTAATCAAATTCAAGGAAAAAGTCTGATTAATGCAAAAGGACAAAATAAAGTATATATGTTAATTTCAGTAAGGAACACCGGGAGCTTCTGCCTGACCATGATGCATGGGTTTATTTAAATGTGGTATTGAGGATAGAAAATAACTAAAAGAGCAGAAATACATTGGAGGGGTGGATCCCACACTTAATGTCAAGCCAGCCAGAGAGGAAGCAGGCGTTTGACTCAGCAGCACAAAGCTGGTGCCATCTTTTATCACCGCGGGGCTCAGCGACACACTACACAGACCTGGCAGAGATTCTAAAGCTCCAGGAAGGATGAATTATAACAAAAGAAAACATTTGCATAACAGACACTGCACTTGGGCACATCCTCCTGAATCTAACACTTGCACTGTAGCAGCAGTTACTCAGTTAAAAAAAAGAGAAAAGGTTATCCTCTCCAGCTCTCACATAGGTCATCCCGGGCATACATGTGACCACAACAACCAGCACCACTGCATTGATGTATTGAATTCAATATGTCAGCTGTGTGCTCTTCGAGTGACAGGCGAACATAAATAATAGATGTTTCTTCTCCATAAATATCTTCCCCACCTTGGCCGCATGGTCCCTGAGTCCCTCAGCAACCCAAGGCTACACCCCAAAGGGTAAAAGGGATTAACATTGATTCCCCTTTTGAGATGAACCTATACTGCAGAAGGGATATTAGATCACTCACATCCTGCACACGCTCACTAACTAGAATCAATATAACATGACATACTTTATGTTACACTTTACAGCCTCTGTTTAACCAATAATGAATAGTCGTGTGAATGGACACATTTTAAAGAAACCAAATATACTGTGGTAGTATTTGATTTAAAAAGTGCTTCTAAATTAAACTAATATAATCAAGAAACAGCAGTAATATAGACATTTTCAGGTATGTTCATTAAAGTGAAGAGCACACAATTCAATTACAAGCTAGTTTCACCCTTGAGTCAATAATTATATCAGCGATGACTAATGGCTTAAATGAGGACCAACTGGATTAAAAATAACTTCAATTAAAACTCCCTGATTGAGATCATATCAAAGATCTGTTGATTATGGATATTATAATGGGATCAAAGCGAGGAAGTGAACACATTTTTGATGTTTTAGACAGAGACATTCCTGTGGCCCGGTTGAAAAGCATGACCAAGCTATTAATAAGCATACAGGGCGGGAAATACCTGACACGTCTGTCACGCAGGGACACAAAACCAGATGAGAGAGGGAAAACCCAGCATTTTATCTCCAATGTGGATTGTTTAAAGATAACAAATCATAAAGTTGAACTGTAAGGTTTTAAAAAATGAGCAAATTTTGAAGCAGATTTTGGTCTTTATACCATCTATATAAAAAACTGCATTAGCATTGCACCTTATCGCAATGTATTGAATCGTTACTCCTAGTATCATGATTCTTATTGTGTTGCCAGATTCTTACTAATCTCGGCTCTTACATTATGTTTTAAAGTTATAGAAAAAGCCTCCTTAGCTGGCAGGAAGCTCTTTTTTATATCTGGCATCTGTTTGCAATTGTGCCATATTTGATTGAATGTCCCTTCACACAAAAATGCAAACAATGTTTTTGTTACCAAGGTACAGGAAACAACAGTACCTTTGGAATTCCCAGTAAATATTTTGGCTTTTACTAGACCATTACATTATATGCGTTACATTTCTTCAATTAAAGAGCCTTAGAGTAAAATGAAAAGTTGTTGTTTACACAGGAAGAATTCAATCCATAAAAAAGCTGGTTATGAAATGTAATCAATATTTTAGATTTCCTTTTTTTTTTGTAAGAACGGAGAAGCTTCACAGTTCATGAGACTCAGCCACGGTGGATGGCGCCCTTAACTAAGTGCCTCTCTCACTCATGGACACTCTCCCTTGACATAATAAGACCAGCGGGAGTTATATAAAAAACCCTCTTGTGTAATGGATATGTAACGTATCCAACATGTGTGTTTGAAGGGGAAGTAAACACAGTGAAACAGGAAGAAATATTTCATTTCTTACACACAGAAAAGATCCCTATTTAATCCAAATGTCCCCATGCAGGAAACTTTTGAACCAGCCTGTTATAATGGTGTCAACACAAGGTATGCAAGGTAGGTTTGGTTAATTTAACATGTCACGCCTGTTGGCACAGAGAGTTTAAGTCTTTGCCTTTAAAGTAACTAACCCACATTGATTTAGTCCCTGTTGGGAGTTTATTTATGGGAAAAACTGTTGTGACATTTTTAAACAAAAAAGCCATTATTATATGTTATCATTTGAACAATTACTGGGATTTTATACTACTTCCAGGGCCTTTTTAGACCATTTGCAGGACACACAAGAGGTCCCCAAACCTCATTTTGGAAACGTATCTGTAGATGGGACAGACAGGAGTAGGTCCATGCACGTTCACATTCTCGGGTGCGCGCTCGGACGCACAGGTTCACTTGGACTGCATATTATGAACAGCTGTATTAATACAACTTATTCCAAGTGCTTGATGTAAACTGGCCCCAATTAAACCCTAATGTAAAAAAGCAGATTTTCATGAAATTATTGGGATTCCCAATGAATATATCACCCTAATTAAAAGATGAATTTGCCCCTAAAGTGCATGCTTTGGGCAAGAAAATTGGCCTTCACATTGCAGACAAACACTGTTTCCTCACCTCCTCTCGGGGGCTGTCCGGCTGCTCTTCAGGGAGGGTGGTGGTGCTGCTCTCACTGGCCGTGGCAGCCGATGCTGGGGACATGGTGATAACGGTACACAAACCGGGTCATGGATCTCCCGATTGAATGGGGGTTTTCCAAATCTGGGTGAAACATAAATACGCAGAAAACCCCTCTGCGCATCATCCAAAACAGACCCGTCCGGCCGGAGCCCAACCGCTGAAAACACGCATCCTTCCTGGGTCCTCCAGGTGGGCAGACTTCGCTGGGTGAATCGCCTACGGGAATCCGGGCATTGTGCCTTGCATGAAGCGCAGAATAGCCTGGTTCTCCTCCCGCGGTGCACCGACTAGATGCTGGGGAAGATTGCTGCAAAGGATGCGATGTTTGGAAATGGTGAAGGCGGCAGTGAGCTCCTGTCCCTGAAGGCAGCAGTGCCTATGGCAGCCAGTATAGAGCTGTGGAGCAGGACAAAGACGACAGGCACGTGTGAGCAGACACCCCGACACCACAATGTAAATAACACACACACACACACACACACACACACACACACACACACACACACACACACACACACACACACACACACACGCACGCACGCACGCACGCACACATACACACACACATCCCTGTTCAACAGAATCACAACACAGAGGCGGTGCTGCAAAAAGAAGCCCACCCCCTGCATCTCATCAGCTGCATCACCTTATCTGTGAGGACCACGTATCATAATATTATCCTCTTTAAAAAAAAAAAGTGGGCTTGCTGACTTTATGATCATAATACGTGTGGTTATTGCTGGAAAAAACGCTAATTAGGCTAAAGCTTGGCATTTTATATCATAATCAAACATAGTATTACACATACTGAGTACCATAACAACATCATGTTTATAGGATATTACAATTTTGTGCTTTTTTCTAGTTAGAATACATACATAAACAAAATACATACATAAACAAAATAAAAAATAAAAAATTCTGCTGTTTAATCACACAACACTGATTAATTAGCTTTTTTGACTTCTCAACTCCTGCCATTTCTGTCTCCACAGCACTATTTATTCAAACCATTACCAGACAATCCTGGCACACATACCCTTGTTTACAATAGCCCAGGATGGACATTGGACTGGACTGCTGCCATAAAATGTAATAAGTAAACTCAACATTATAGATATTATGGAAACAGATGGCAGCTCTTGGCAGTAGACGTTTCTCTCTGCCAGTCAGTATTGTTTTATAGACTATATTTATGATGAATCTGGCCCTGAGTAGTAGCCATGTAAGTGAGCCCTCTAAAGGCCAAACCACAACAAGCATTTCATGACGGAAGAGGAAACAAAAAATTACAGCTGTGTTATTCCTGAACTTTTTGGAGGTCAAAAACTGCAAACTTAAACTCTGCTAACATGTGTTATTTTATCCTGTATACAACCTCTGCCAAAGATAGCACACATGATCTTGGTTATTGTATGAATGTATCAAAGGCAATACACTGTAGCTCCAGCAAAACTATGCAAAACATTATTGCATTCCTTGGGAAGTTCTGTAATGTCAAATTGGCACAGTTTGTCATTACACAATTTGAGCAGGGCCAAAGCCTGGATTTTATAAAGACCGAGGTCACAAGTCTACACTCTCAATCTTTTTATTTATTTATATAATCTTTTATTCAATAACTTAAGGTGTACCCTTTGTACGGTGGCTGAGAGGTGCCATCGACAATTACAAAGTGTGAAACACTTTAACAAAGCTTGAGACACATGTACATTTTATAAAACAAAATGACATTAGCAAAACACTTTTACCAAAGAAAAAACAATTTAACAAGATGCGAAACACTTTTACAAAGCTAAAGACAAACACTTTAACATTTCCCGAAACACTTTAACAAACTAGAGAATCAAACCTATGGACGGTACGAGTGTGTTTATGGTCGTTAAACATGTTTTGTCCGTTCTGTGGAAACCACCTGGGCCAAGTGAAATGGTTTTGCTCGTCACGATATGCTTTCTCGTGCGCAAGAGATACGTTCTCGTGCACACAAGAAAGTTACAGGTTCGCCAAGTAGGAAGTGGAGCTGTGCCTTTTACACACAGCCTTCGCTGTGTTTACCTTCATTAGAACAGCTAAAGAGCGACTGCAGGCTGCTTAGTTATAGCCACACACACCTCTACACACACACACACACACACACACACACACACACACACACACACACACACACATACACACATTTTAGCATTTTGCTTATTATTTTATTTAATTTGCTTACTTTAACATCATTTTTCATGGTGGGGCTAAGGTGGGGCTAAGCCATTTCTTGGTATGGCTGGAGCCTACCCCAGCAGTGGCGGCGCCAGGGTATGGCTGGGGTACCAATCAGAAGTGCTGTGCTCCACATGTACCAGCCATTGTTAACCAATCAGAAGTGGCCCATGATAGAAGGTGATAGACAGATTGATCCAATCACCTGCCAAGTGTTTTTGAAAGTGCCTGCCCTTTCCAAATGGCTTCCAATGGAGCTTTCCTAGATGGTTTGGTGAAACAAACCATCTGAGTCAGGTTAGTAATGCTCCATCACATGTTTTACATCTATTACAGGGTGAATCTTAAACTGAAGCTTGACTTTAAAGCAACCCAACGGAAGTTTCATGCAAGTTTAGTTATTTCACTTGTAGCTCGGGCTGCGGGGGTGCTAGAGACGGGAGCATGTTGATGCGACCTTCCTAGCCTATGGCCGCATTTTACAATAAACTTCCATTGGGTCGCTTAAAAACAAATATCGCAAATCGCAATCGCAATATTTGTCAGAAAAATCGCAATTAGATTTTTTCCCAAAATCGTGCAGCCCTAGCGTGTATGTAATTACATTGCAAATACTGACTTGAGCCCCACCACTGTATGGGTTAGCCCTACCATAGATTACCCAACAAAAATACTCTGGCGCCACCACTGTACCCCAGCCATACCCTGGCGCCGCCACTGATGATGAATAAAGTATATCACATATCCTCTTACAGAAATGAGTTGAAATAAATGTATTGAAAACTTGTAAGTTGTGATTAAACGTTTTTGTTTTTTTTAAAGGTGCATGGTTCTTTGTTTGTAGCCTTTATTTATCCAGGTTAAAAAATCCCATTGAGATCAACGATCTCTTTTACAAGGGAGACCTGCGATTTAACACATAGTTTAATTTAAAGGTCCCATGTAATGCTTTTCCGGTTATTACCCGTCCCCTTGTGTGTTATGTAGCTATTTATGCATGTAAACGGTCTGCAGAGTCACAAACCCTCAAAGTACACCCTGTAGCGAGTACAACTCTAACACAGAAAAGACCTGTCTATGCTGCCCCAGAACGCCTCGTTGGAGATTTCTCATTTTCCATTGTTTGCTTCCTGGGTTCCAGGACCAATCCGCGGAGCCGTTATGTTACGTCCGCGGAGCCGTTACGTTTGGACCAATCCACGGACTTCCTCACACACACACATGCGAGGCGGGACGTTGCGTGGCTCGCTGCTGCGAGGATCGGGACACTGTGAGCTGGCTCACTGGTGTGGGGTCGGCGAGACAGCGAGACACCGCGGAACTCAGCCTGGGCACCAGGGGCGGACTGGCCATCGGGACGTTCAACAAGCCGTTTAGGACAGAGAGTGAGATACACATACTATACAGAGATGCTGTATGAGAAACCAATGTGAGTTTGGAAAATTGCACGATGTAAATGTATTTTAGTATACCTCAACAATGGAATTATGATCAGTAGAAATGGCCATGACATGGGACCTTTAATTACAAATGTCTATAACAGTTTTATTTTGAAAATCGCACTTCTTCCGCTTTTACTCTGTTGAACCTTGACGCTGTTCCAGTTGAAGTGAATGTGTGCGCGCGCGTTTATAGTGTGTGTTTACGTTCACGCGCACTGGGGATTCCCCCGCGTGACAAAAACAGCTTCGCCTTTCACATGTCAGCTTATCGCCTTTCATTGCTCATACGCTCTGCGCCCGGAGCTCATGCTGTTACCGGATATCTAGACGACGGGTGGCCGTTTCGCCTCTTCTCACTTGTTTTTAACCCACGAAAATCTGACATGACCGTAGTAAACTTTTAAACAGTCTACAATTGATCAAAGGTGAAGAGGGCCTGTCGCTGGGGGGTAATGTATTATCGGTTAGTGGCTCCTTCCTCTGGTTTCACAAAGGAGCCGTGGTTTCCTCGGAGTCCGGTCACAGAGCACCGAAAGCCCGCAAGTAGCCTCTAAATCCTCAGGGAAGGAGGGAGGGGGAAACCCAGAGAAACACCACCATGGCGAGCGACGACTGCAGGAAAGATGAGTCGCTGGAGGAGAACCGCACAGACTCGGGCATCGACTCGTACCGCTCCATACTGAAGTCTGAGGAGCCCCGGGAGCCGAGCGTCGACTTCAGCGGACCGAGGGACAAGTTTCCCGCCGTGGACGAGCGCCTCGACTCGGCTTATGAGTCCTCGTCCATCACGGTGGAGAGTTTGACGGAGGTAGTCGAGGGCTACACGCTGGAGGAGCAAGCACCGAGCTCTGAACTCTCTAAACAGGAGGAGAACTTGCTCACAACTATCACTGAAGATGGAGACACGTATGTTTATTCTCTCAGTTATTTATGTATTTATTGAATATTTTCTGAGCTTTCCTGGGTCTTTGCTGAAAGGCCCAACGATGCATACTAAACATGGTGCCTTGCAATTCTATTTCTCGTTTAAGTTTGAACCATTTCAACAAGTCTATTTTGAAGTAGTCTGCAGTATCCCATAAAGAACAAGGTTGGAAGAGAAACGCAGTTTTTTTTTTATTTACCCCAGAATGTATGTATTTTGAAAATGTCCACACCTTTTTCTCTGAACATAGCAAAGTTGTATGTAATTAGCACTGTGCATTGTTCTTTTTTGACAACAGTAGCTCTGGTTATTAGGGCTGCAACCTATAATTAATATTGTCTACCATGATCAGTTTTCTTTTTCTCAAAATGTCAGAATTAATGAAAAATGCCCGTAATAAAATTCCCAAGTCCAGGAGTGCACCCCAAAGTTATGCAGTTTTCAAAGATATAAAACTGAGAAAAGCAACAGATCACATTTGAGAAGATGAAACTAGAGAAGATTGGGCCTTTTTGCTTGAAAACTTCAATATAAAAGTAGTTGCTGGTTCTTTTTCTGTTGTTTCAGCTCTGGTAGTGCAAGCAACAAATACATGTCTTTATATCTCACTCAATTTGATCAGATGGTGGAAACATCCATATATAGAAGTTAGTGGAGACTGTAAATCACACAGAATTTTAGCCACAGCTCTTCATGTGATACTGGTTTTGCAGGGGATTTCATACAGTGTGATACTTCAGACTCTTTTAAATGAACTGTGTCCGTGTCATGAATGTGGATGCACTACTGTGAGGCGTTGCTCAGTGAGAAAACAGAAGTGAAACAGATAGGCCTGGACTTCCCCATGCAGCTCAGACAAAGCACATGCTTTGAGGCAGCACTTAGGACGGATTTGATCCAGACAACTTGTTGATCAGGATAGGACAGTGTGTGCATGTTTTTATTGGTGTATCCCACAATTCACCAGCTGCTTTCTTTCTTCTTCTACCACAGCAGACATCTGTAAATGTCAGTTTGTTACTTGTCGTCACAATGGCTGTTTATTCTTTCAGTTTGAGTCAATGAAACTGCTGCTTTTTTTTTTGCACACAATCCAAATACCTCAACCCAAATACCTCAACCTCCTCCACACAGTGTGTTATCAGTTGTTTCTTGTGTGGCCCACTCTTCTTTTGTTGCCAAGTCATCAGTCTGTTTTGACGTGAAGCAGAGCTGCTAATGACTCCTGCAGCCTGTAGTGTAATCCAGTGATTGATGTAGTCCCAAGCGTAGTAGAACTGTTGTTGTGTCTTTGACCTCTTTTCATTTCCGCTTGCTGGTTGTTGGAGCCACACATGGTTTCATTCTCACATCCTAACTATAGATACTTGGGAGGGGGAAAAAACACCTGAAACAACGCAAACTGACTGAGCCTGTGAAAGAGTATCATGCAAACATTACTGTTTCCCCCGTGGGATTCTTTAGTTCTTATTCATTCAAGTCTTAGTCAAACCAGGAAATCCCTTTCAAACTAAAAGGTTTGCTCAAGGGGTTGACTCTTAAGTGGGCCAAATGCTTTGGTTTACACATTTAAAACAGCCAGACATTAAACTGGATAAACTAGTAGGTCTGTAACAAAGTATATTTTTATTATCAATGAATTCATTATTCTTAATAGATTATTGGAGGGTCTATAAAAAGTCATAAAATAGTTAAAAAAAAACAAATGTAGTTCAGGGTTAGAGAATAGTAAACAAATACGATGCAATACAAATCAGTCAAAAGGCACATAATACATCATGCATTGCTATTTTATTGCAGGCAGGTATGTGTTAAATCAATCAGATACTATATACTTTTATTCATTTATCATTAATTTGTTGATAATAAAGGGAATGTTACCATTTCCCTTAATTTATTTTCTAGACAGACTTAAATGCTAACACAAAATAACATTATCTCAATGCAGCACTAAAGTTAAAACTAGTTCAAACTAATGTGTGTTATATTTAACTGAATGACATGATGTCTGTGCAGTGGCATTGTTTAATCCCACACTGTCTGTCTCCGACTTGACATTTAAACTCACTGCTGAACTTTAAGAGAGCACAGTGACTGCAGTAAGACGCAGTTTGTAGTACACTATAAATACTTCAATACAATAACATCCTCAAGCCTGAAATATGAGCAATTTAAACCTGGCTATAAACCCATTCAAATCACTTTGCAGATAAATCTATTTGTGTTGTTCTAGTTTAGTTTAAATTAAGCGCTGAGGCTCTGCTGCCATTTCCTGCTTGATGCACACATTTGTTTGGTTCAACTTTCCACAGCAGTTTTGAGGTTAGGGTGTTTTTTGTCAACCACTTATACCTGACTTTATCAACACACTATGCTATTTGTTCTAAAAATGTTATTGCCCCATACCCCAATTACTAACTCTTGCCATTCAGCCCACTAGATGTAACATTTTGAGGTAGCCTCTTGAGATGAATACTGAGGGAAATTGTGAGGCAACTACTGCTTTTGTGGGTGACGATTGCTCAATGTCAAACTAAGTAAATGTTCAGGCTTGTGCAAGCATGATGAATAAATATGTAAATGTTTCTTTGTCACTTCTGCAGCATCCTGCACTTAGCCATCATCCATGAAGAGGAATTCATCTCCAAACAGTTGATACAGATATTCCCAAAAGAAGTCCTGGACATCCAAAATAATTTATACCAGGTAAGTGCAACATAAATCTTTCAAAAACAAAAGGGGGAATTTTGCATCCAAAGTGACTTCCACATAGTATCTTGATTGTGGAGAGGATGATGTATATCTCTGTACTTCCAGAGAGCTGTTGTTCCTCTTTATTCGCAGTCCGTCCTCTCTCAGGGACGTCACTGTGGGCGGTTCCAGTGTGAGCTCATAAGGGACTTTAAATGGAAACTCCCCTCCTCTACCTCCTCTAGAAATGGTACAACAGGGAGCTGTGGAGAGTATCCTTGTGTGGATGTGGGTGGAGGAATTGTTCCTTCAAGATGTCAGACCAGAGTCTTGCTAGTATAAAAACCAAAGTGAAGGTCAAACTAACAGAACTGTCAAAAGGAAACATCTGAACTGAAGATTCAGCACTTCATGCTGTGACTCAGGTAGTCTGAGACATGTTGGTTGCCCAATTTCCTCTCAGTAGTCATTCTAAGACCTCACATTTGAAAGAAGCGTAACCCCTTTAGGTTTTTTAAAAGAAATTCCCTTGATGCATTGAAATGTGTGGTGCACAGATGCAATTCAGTCTTACTAATGATAAATGATCATAAAGTCAAGCCATAGAAGATCTCTAATTCTCCAGCAGCCTCAGTAGAGCAGACTGCCGTGCAGCCGTTACCACTTCTTTGTTTTGGACAGGAGGTGCAACTTGCTCAGCTGGAGTGTTTCTCTGTTGGACTCTTTATTCATATGTAATGCATCTGAATGCAACAGGTACAGACCTGTTCTCTGGTTGTTATTCAAAGGCATTCTGGGAAATGCTATGACATAAGTAGAAGTGGCAGTGTTGAAGGACAATGACGACACACATCTCCAAACCGGTGGTAACAGCAATGCTTTAATACTACTGGTCTCTTTCTAGGGGAAGCAAAAACAAACAATTGTCGTTTTGATAAAGAAGTCTTTTTTTTTTTCATTGTATGAAACCAGGATCTGATTTTGTGCTACACACAGCATGAGTCTGTAAAAAGTAAAAGTAATTGAGTTTGTTTTGTGCTGAAAATGTTAAGGTTTGTTCATCAAACAGCTTACATATATTCCAACAATATCATCACAGACTCTGTTTGTTATACTGCAGCTTTATAAACATTAGAATAGATTATTCAATGGCCTAAAGGCTCAGTTACAGTTGTGTTACCTTATTCAGCAATAGTGAACAAATAGACATTAATTTAACTTAACATCTTCGAGATAATTACTTAAATTAGGAATGCAACTGTAATTTTTATCATAAAACAAATTTTACATTTTAGATTAATTTTTTTCTGAATAAAATGAGGGAATATTGTGGGTTTTTAGTAGTCCAAAATCCAAAGACATTACATGGACAATGTTATAAATCAGAAGTAAAGTTGTAAATATTTTTGCTTGATAATTGACTAAAACAACTAATTGATTATCAAATGCTTTGCCAATCAAAAAGTTATTCCCTTAGTTTAAAAAATCAATTTAACCAGAGACTTGCAGATCTGACTGTATCACACATCCTTTTATGATTGGTGTTCCTCAGACACCTTTGCACCTGGCCACCTACCTGAAGCTGCCGGAGGTGGTGAAGCAGCTGGTGGAGAAGGGGGCGGGGCTTGAGCTGCAGGACCAGGAGGGGAACACCGCGCTGCACGTGGCCTGCCAGCACGGGGAGACAGAGTGCGCCACGGAGATGACCCGAGACGTTTCCCCCAGCAAGATGGCTCCGGTCCTCGAGATCCAGAACTGGAGAGGTGAGGAAAACACTGAGTGCTGCATCACTGCTGTTATTTAGAGACATTTTTAACTGTCTGCACCATCTGTGTGGTTTTTTGTTTTGAGTAGCTGACGTTGAACTTCCCAAGATTGTGCAACTCTGTTAAGTGTGTCGAAATGTCACATAGCGTTCTGGTGCTTTCAAGGCAAGGCTATTGTTGTCAGCTTTTTAAAGAAAATAATTAACTTGGTTGCTATTTCTCAACTAATATAGCTTAAAAGGAAACATTTGAAATGTATCAACCAAAGTCGGTTTTGTAAACTGTCCAGCTTCAAAAGTTTGTGATATATTGTACACCCACAAAATGTTCATTTGTGGTTTTTTGCATACATATTTGAATGCCAGAACATAATCAGTTGTATACAATCAGATAGATGGATATAATCGGAGGATGAAACCCTCTTTATGTCACACATGCACACACAGTCAAATGTGTTCTCTGCTTGTAACTCATCCTAGTACTAGGAGCAGTGGGCAATCAGTTTGCTTTTATTGAATTAATCTTTCAGTCTCTTTTGCCCTTAAAGAGAGCCCCATGTCCCACATCTCATTAAGGTTTTTACTTGCAGGTCTCACTTGTCTTCACTTGGCTGCACTGAACAGGCAACATCAGATAATGAAGCTCCTGGTGAAAAAAGAAGCAGACTTGAACATCCAGGTTAGTTGCATCATAAGGATTATAAATTGATTAAATATTATTATTATTATTATTATTATTTAAAAGTTTTTTTGTAATGCAGTTGAAATAACCCTTTAAATAATGTTTAAATTGCCATGATATCTAACAGTTAACCTGTACCTGCAGCCCCGACTCAGCTGCCGCTTATGAGATTAAACCTAAATGTCATAGTCATTAAAGTCTGCTTAATTAGTCTGGGCTTGGGTTTCCCCGAGGATCCCTCCTATGAGCCAGCAATGTGACAGTATTTATAATCACACTTATCCCTTTCACACTGTGTTTACTGGCCTTATGTTGTGTTCTGGACTATAAATCTGCTGCACCTGTGCAATGCTGATAGTGATATGAGCTGAGCTCAGGGCTTCCTGCCGGATTCATAGGACATAATTAGATCCCAGATATGATTAGGCTGGGCTGGCAGTCAGTCCCAAAACTACCCCAGACATTCCTCTCACTTGAAATCAGCAGCCAAACATATCACAGTGCTTACATCCGGTACATTATTATTATTATTATCATTACAGACTATCTGTGGCCTTTTCTTTCCAGCTTTTAAGAATGCAAAATGTAAAATACATATTTGGAAACAGAAAGATGTCAAGCAAACCAACTATACAAATTAAATTGAACAACTTTATGGTAGTGTGCCATTTGTGTATCTGTGGAATTCCTCATTACTATTTTCCATCCACGGCGCTCACAGGAAGGAACCAGCGGGAAAACAGCTCTTCATCTCGCTACGGAGCTGCACGACATCACGTCAGTGAAGCAGCTGCTCAGCTGGGGAGCCGACGTGGACGCCGCCATGTTTAATGGCTGCACGTCGCTGCATCTCGCCGTGGGGAGACAAGACGCCGCCATCGCCAACCTGCTCTGCCAGTCCGGTGCCGACACAATGCTGCGAAACATGGAGGATGAAACAGCGCTGGATCTGGCTGACGGCAACGATGACGTGAGTTATTGTGATTTAAAAGTAACAGGTACATCAGCGGAGACTACCGAGATGGATCAGAATACATATTTTAACATCTTTTGTGTCCTTGTCTTTCAGATTCTGGCTCTTTTTCCTTTTGATGACATCCAGATCTCCGGGAGGTCGGTGGTCAGCGTGAAGTTTTGAGCTAAATCTTAGGCTTAACAACATTTATTAAATTGCCTGGAGCTTCATGTGAGTGGAGATATTTGATTTAAAAACAAAAGAAAAGAAAAAAAAGCAGAATTTGTAGCTTTATTAATTAGTGTCTCTATTTCTAGAACATTCTGATTTGATGTGTATTTATCCATTATCTAGACAAACAAGTGCAACACAAAATATGACTTCCCCCTAACAAAGAGAGCGATTCAGATTTATTGCACACTGATAAAAAGTCATTGTTTCAGTCATTCTGCAACACAAACCACCTCAATGTCCCAAATCCACATTTTAAATGAACATAAAAGATACTACCTCTTAATCACATTAACCTATTTGTAATTTAAATATTGGACATTCAAATTGCTTTTTTTCACAGTTTCTCAAACTGTATCAGTGCTTTTTTTCATAGCCATCATTGTAGCCACATACTTTTTTTAACATTTCTTTTCGCCACACCAATAACTTACAGACGATCACAGAAAGACTTTTTGAGGAATGTAATCAGAGAACAAATGTCAAACTAACTGTGCCCCAAAGAGATCTGCAAGCCTATGAAGAGAAACTAATCACTGCTTTTTCTTAGGAAGCCGATAGCCCGTATAAAAATATAATATATAACACAAAATGCAGCTTCCTCCTTTGTGATTTTTCAGCTTTGCTACTTCATAGTCAAGCTGTTTTCTCTATTTATCTCATCCTATCTTTAATCTGCAGTAAACTGTTACCTGTACTTTGGTTTGTAATTACACTGTCTAGTTAATATAACCCGTTTTGTTTATTTTGTAATAAAATGGTAAGAAAACTCATGCATGTTGTATGCTTTTCTGGGTTACTGGAATCTTAGGTACATTTTAAAAAGAGACATTATCTACCATCTGCTCTTCACAGATAGCTCCAGCTTTATCAAAAGGGTTCATCAAAGATATTTTGGGCGTGCAAACAGGAGACAGAAGAAGCAATATCAATTGTGCTATGTTAGTAAAAGAAAAGGAGAGGTGAAGTAATTAAAGGATTTGTGTACAGCAAAAAAATCTGATCATACATTAATACAGTTAATAACGACAAGACTCTTCCATATAAACAGTTCTGTGCTTGGTTTCCTGTAAGCTACTTTTAGGTGTACCGTTTTGTTTGCCTGTAAGCAATGGCTCCAATAATACAATGGCTGTGGAACGTCTGAAAATTCCACTCAGCTGTAACCTCTATTATATACACATACCAACAACAAAGCATGCTGGATAATAAGCTAGCATGCACTGGGAAATGATTACACGTAATCTGTGGTGATGATCATGGTCAGGTGAATGGGGCTCTGAGGGTTTGACAGTGACAGATTAATATGTTATGGTGACTACTTCCAAGCAGACAAACATCTGTGGTGAACGGCTAGAACAAAAGGTTATGAAACTATACCTACTTCCCTATTGAGCCTATGGCGGGAAGCTATTTATGTTATATTCAGTGTACTGTAGGTCATGCTGGTGTTGCTAGGGGCTACGTTAATAACAAAAAGCTGTTGTGAAAAAGTGAGATAATCCAGTTTCTCATGATATATACTCTATTCCATATATTCCTCTTTTAACTGGGCTGTTTAATTGATGCATCAGTGAGACTGCAACCTTAGTTTGTGTCAAAAACTGGTGGCATTAGTTGTGTTTTATGTTGAAAATAGAAAACATTTAATCATTTTCTAATTTTAAAAGACTTGTATGTAGGTAAATGCTGCTTTTAATCATGTTGGAAATAACATAATTAGGCTAAATTGTCAAGATTGAGTTCTTTAATATCATATGCACAAGAACAACAGTGAAACGGCCGTCTATAATACAAATCTTGGATCTTAGGCTCTCTCGAACAATGCTCATTAAACGTATATTAAAAAAAGAAAATCACAACTAAAAGAAAAACTCGAATTGACATGCAATAGTGCAAGTTAAAATATAGAGCAAATGTATCAACTGAATGTAAACATGAATGAAATAACATAATGAGAAGTGCACATTCACTACATTCATGTTTATCTCTATCAAAAGGTTTTGGTAAGTCAATCTGATCAGAAGAGGAAGAAAGAAAAACACTGTACAATGTAAATCTCATTCATTACAAGTAAAGGTCCTGCAAAGACTTTTGACACGTCATAGAAGACAAATGAACAGGTGTAATCTATTAATCATGCATTTTCTTTAGATGTGTCATTTAGTTTTAATGCTTACTCACTGGCAACAGAGCCGTCATCAGTACGAGCTCCACATGTGCTTTCATTACGTTATATTGTCAGCAAAGTATCATAAGTGTGAATAAAGTCAGTCTTTTCCAACCTCTTTACCACTGCATGTGCATTTTAATGTTGAAGCTAGTCGATGTGGAACTCTTTGAGGACTTCATGTGTTGTTAGGGAGTTTCTGGCACAACCTCAAACAGATTCAAGGTGCATGGAGAGGACTTGAAGTGTGCTTCAGGCCAAAAAAACAAAAATTCCTTGGTCTCCTTTCTCTTTATGCCACTAATGTTCCTGGAGTTTGGACCTTTTGTGTTACTGTTTTTTCTCTACTCTATTTCCTTGTTGATCATGCTTAAAGTTTGGGACTTTCACCCTCTGAGGAGAACAGGCAGGCAGCAGCGCCAGGATAACAACTCTACCTTTGACTGAACCTAAAGCATATCATTATCTATCTTGTATCTACCTATTTAATCTTTATAGGGATTTTTTATTTTATTCCTGAGGTGCAATTTGTTGCTCAGCCAACAGTTGTACAGTCATCACACCAAGGAAAGGACAGGTAAGAGTTCACACAAGGATAACAAGATTTTAAAAAGCGTGAGTATAAATTAAAATAACAACAAAAGGGTATGGAAAATATGGAGTAGCTGAATTTACATGTGGTTGACCTTGTACACATAAGATAGGTCATACTTTTTCCCTGCAATTTTACTTCACATTCTAATAGTAACTTGTTCCTGTTTTTCAAGGAAAGTTACCCACCTATCGAATTTCAAAGGTCAACGTATCAGTAATTGTCCCAAGATATTTGGCCATTCAATTAATAATAGGAAGAAATGCCAGGGAAGGATCATTTTCCCAAAGTAAGGTATTATTACCTTTGTTTCACACAAATGTATGTCAAAGAATGAACCAGTTGAGCAGGGACACTATAAGAGAATAGGTCTGCTCACAACATGACACTGACACTCATTTGTATGCAACAAAGTGGTAAGAGTACACTCAATTTCCTTTTCTGTTATAATAATGTAGCATATGTATCACTTCAGTATTTAATTTTACATTCTATTCTTGTTTATATTATTCTATTTTACATGTGTGTAGAATCCTGCATTACTTGCACATTGGTCTTGCAACATAATCGTACACTATTTAATTTTTACTCTGTTTCTTCTTGCTATTTTTATTGGGGGGGTTTTATTCATTTAATGACTTATATGATTATATATTTATGTAGCATTTTTGGAGGAGTTTTGGTCTTAAGATTTGAATTGCCATAACTACACTGTAGCCCATCATCTGGCTGCTATTTAGAAATTGTTTATCTATTTATCTAATATATCATATTCCAATAACTTGCATATAGACTCTTATTGCACTATTTCACTATTTCACTTTTTTAAACTATTTTTCTTTTTGTATTTACTATTTACTATTTACTTGCACTATATTTTTCTGTTTACCTGTTTTATTGTGTTGCACTGTTGGAGAAGCCTGTGACCTACGATTTCCATCGTCATAACTACACTGTAGCTATGTTCGTATGACAAAATAAAAACCTTGAACCTTGAACCTTGAAGGGGTGTCCAAACTACGGCCCAGGGGCCAAATGCGGCCCGCAAATTCAAAAAGAATAATGGACTACGGCCACAAATGAAACTTGAGCTTTTCTTGTATTGTACTTATTACATATATCTGTAAACATATGTTGAACAGTATAGTGTTCATGTGTTAATAAGCCCAATTTACAATAAATGCAGTCAATTACATTTGAAAATATGTTCTAACAAATCTAAGTCGATAAGAAAAAAAAACAATAACTTATATACATAACAAACTTGAAATATACCCTTCCTATTTCCTCTTATGATAATCAATCTGGGGCTCCTGTTGTAAGGGATGAGCTGCTAACAAATTAAATGAAACTCTCTGGAGAGCTGGGATGTAGGCTGTTTATTTTTCTTAAAGCAGATCCAAGTATCAAGCATAATTTACCTACTTTTGATTGATTTGGCTAACTTATAACTTAACCTATGAGGCAATATACCTCACCTAGTGAGCGGCCCGGCCCATCGAATATTTTTCTGTATGTGGCCCTCGGTGAAAAAAGTTCGGACGCCCCTGCTGTAGCTACTGTGCATATAACAATACAGCTTTCATTTGTGTACTGAAATGTGCTCGACAAGTAAACCGGCTTTTCCTTGCAGTTCTTCCTCCTCACCGACAGGGGCGCTGCCGTCGGGGGTGCGCTGTGCTCCGGCATCCTCCTGGTGTTGAGCAAAGAGGAGGGGGGCTTTCCTGCTCAAAGTGAACACATCGGCCATTGAGGATAAGTTGAAGACATTAGAGCTAAAAGGCAGCTAGTCCGGAACAAGACAATCCCCTAATAATTATTATTAAAATATCGTTACCTGCCGGACCTTCATGCTCTGTTCCAGCGGGGACGCTTGAGTCAGTCGGCGGGTGAGCTGCTCCAGGTGTCGGGCCACCGAGAGTGGAGAAAATGCCATCTTTTTCATGGAGGTAATGGTAGACACCAAGACTAAATGTTAGCTTACTGTAGAAAAAGCCGTGTTAAAAATGAGTTCTTTATGTAGGCTCTGCTGACTGTTTATTTGTTTTCTAGTGAACATGTTTTTATTATTCGCTATTAAAAGAGGTGGAATAATTACACAGATATCAGACCTGAGTTAAAGTTGATGTGTTGAGTGTAGGAATACTCTATTACAAGTAAAAGTCCTGCAATCAAAATGTTACTCAAGTAACAGTAGCCTATTGGCATCAAAATATACTGAAAATACCAAAAGTAAAAGTACTAAGGCCCATTTCAGAATTTTATATGACGTGTTTTTTTTATGATTATTGGTGCATTCATGTGTTTATCACAACTGGTAAAGGTGCAGCTAGTTTTATTGACTTTATATGCGGGAAGGTAGCTTGTGAATTTTACTCCAGGTGTAACTAAAGTCTGATTTAAGTGTTGAATTATATTTCACATCATTAATTTAAATACGAGCAGTAATTCAAGGTATAAAGTTAATGTATTTGAGTAAAAGTACACGATTTACATCCGAAATGTAGTGGGGTAGAAGTACAAAGTAGCAGAAAATAGAAATACTCATGATAAGTAAAAGTTCCTCAAAATTGAAGTTAAGTACAGCACTTGGGTAAATCTACCTAGTTACTTTACACCACTGGTTATTATTTACTTTGTTTTGATAGGAGTTAACACCCATTCAAGTGCTGCATGTGATACCATATGATTACAATTCACATAATTGATTGCAACACCACTCTGGGTTTTTCCCTCTGGACTGATGTGTTTGATTACCATGGATACATGTCCATACCTCACCCTCCAGCAGCCAGGTAGTAATAATGACATAGTTGTCAGGAGGGATTCACTCCATACGATCTGCTGTCATGTATGTGGTACAACACACTCTTTCTCTCCCAGGTATGTTTCTGGCAGCTCTCTCTCTGTGGGTTTGACGCCCAGCCAGTACACTGCATTCCTTCATGTAATAAGTTGCTTGTTCACAGCCCAGGTCTCTCTGCAGTGGACTGCTGGCCCACACAAAGACA